ACTTAAGTAGATGCATGTAAACATAATTACATTGTAATTTCTGATAAAATCTGAATGATAGAAGTAACACGCCCTTAGTCGCAGGCCACGTTATAAGGTGTTAGCTTTGTTTCTAACGCATGGAAAGGCTTATAATCTGCCTCTCTCCCTCAGGATCCTGACTGCCTCCCCTGCGCTCCGGATTTAATCGTGTCTGGAATTCTGTCGCTACTGAGGATCTGCAGCGGCGACTCGTCCTCCTCGTCCGCTGGCTGTAGTGAAGTTTTCAGGAATGTCATTGGCAGTGGGAAAGTTCAGAAATGTGCTCTAGAGGCTCTGACAGCTGTCAGTAACAGCCCAGGTGAAGCTGTCATTAGAGTTAGAATCCATATTACATGAATGGAACTAAAAGGGAATACTGAAAACAACCATTCTCTTTATGGAGGATATAAAGACCTTTAGTGCATATATTAAGATAAGATAAGATAAGACTTTATTGATCCCACAACGGGGAAATTTTTGCATCACCTCAGCTCAAGTACAGATATATGAAGGAAATACAAAAATACAATTGAGTACAATCAATGAAAAAAAGTAAGAAAAGTAAAGTGATGAGTTTTTAAAAATTCTGTAAGATACTTCTACAAAACAAAAGTAGTATATGGCATATGTGGGAAAAACAAATGTTAAAGGAACACGCTGAGTTAATTTACGTGTCTGTTTGTGTTTCAGGAGCAAATGGCAAGCTGACTGACGTGCTCACACTTCTGATACAGTATCTGGACGATCCTGATTCTGATCCCACTGTAAGTTTGTGCGTGTTTTTGTTCACAGATGCAAGATGATCACAACTATCAGAGATTTGTTTCACTGTATTTGCTCTAATATGGATGCACCCTGGCTCTCATCCCATTACACTGGGTTGGGTCAATATCCTGACCTGTGGAAGATCTATCTTAGAGTTTCATTTCTAGTTCGTTGTAAAGGTGATGGATGTGGTTAAAGTTGGAGTTAGTCAAGTTTTTCCATAGCGCACAAAGCCAGGAATATCTCTCCCCAGACTGTGGTCGTAACACACTGTTGTCTGAGAGTATCACTGTACGTTGAAGGACTGTCACTTCTTTCATTATTTGGAACTAAGAGTCCCAAACCATCCAGCAGATGGCGTCAGTAACCTGAGTATCTCAACCTGTTTTTACACAGGTCAAAGTTAAATTTCTTTTGCTCACTTTCAAGCATCAAAAATCTTCTTTACACAATTTTCTGTAATTGTCATAGAGTCATGTAAAAAGCACAAGTTTCTGCTTTTTATTTTTGAATGGACAAGAACTAATGAGATAGAGAAAGGTTCAAGATTTTAAAAGGCAGGTTGAGGGGAACAAAAATGTTTTTTGGACTGAACATCGTGATAAGATGAATGCGTCTTTGTTTTTCAGGTGCTACATAAGTCCTACCAAGCCTTGGTAAAGTGGATGAGTGTTTGCACAGACGTCTCCTTTATAACAGACCAGCTCAGACACGGTAAATCACAGCGTTAGCATCTTCCCTGTAGCTTATAAAGCCTGTGCAATAGATCTGCACAACAAATCACATTGTTTGTGTCTGTTAGATCTCGTCCAGGTGGTGAAGAAGCGTGCGTGTGACATGCGCTGGGAGGTAAGAGACTCAACGATGGAGTTTCTGGGGCACCTGGGAGCGATGCGTGTCTGCCGGGCGCCAGCTGAGCAGGCGTGCGATGCCTCTGAGGCCCTGCTGGGTGGCTGCTGCTGTACCACTCCTCTCCTCAGGGAGGCTCTGCAGGATCCAGAGAGTTATGTGAGAGCCAGCGCGATCAAAGCACTGGCACAGACAGTGATGCACAGCTGGCAGGAGGGGGCAGCACCCACACAGGAGCAGGTGAGAAGTAAAGGCAAACCTGTCGAAATAGGACCGAGGAATGTGTACATGAACGTGCATGCATGACAGGAGGATAAAGACACATGTGAATACTCAAAAACAGTAAATATTAGAATCTTAACACCGATATTATATATGTAGCATGTATTTTTATAACAAACTGGTTTATTTCACCTGCTTTGGTGCAAATAAAAGTGACAACATGTGCACTGAAGAGGCAACAAGAAGATCACACAGTGTGGCCAGCACAGTGTCCTCCAGCAGGCTTTATCACCAAGCTGTCAGAAGAAGACTCCATGAGGGTGGCACAAGTACCCAGCATCCTTCAGTGGAGCCTGTGGTCACAGATTGGCACAGGCATTAGTAAGAAAACACCTGAACTGGCAGGTTCACCAGTGGTGCCCCGTTGTTTTCACAGATGATCTTGCATCAGCAATAATTATATAATTTTTGCCGTGGTCTATCCAGACTCTTTCACAGCTGCCACATGTGCTCTGTGTGAACCTGCCGTTGTTTGAGTCAACTGTTCAGCTGGAAGGAGGTATTTTTGTAGCAAAGGCAATAACACGCTGTGTTTAGTAGAAGTAAAAGGCTTATTCTGAGAGGGCAACAGAGCAGAGATGCAGTAGGATTTGGCGTTTATTGTTGTGCCTCAAGACACTGCGACATTAGATGAGCTGGGCGTCGAACTGTGGACATTCCTAATAGTAGACAGCCTGAGCTGAAAACGCCTCCAGCTTCTGTTCAAAGCATCAATTGCATTAGGGAAGAATTTTTCCACTTTTTGTTTTGTTCTGTGGAATAACAGCAACACTCAAGATAGAGATAGTGGGGCTCAGAACAGATATCAGATTTAAATGATAATAGTTCATCTGTAGTTTGATTTGAACTTGCCCGGTTTTGCTAACTCGATGTCCCGTCTATCTCCAGACTGAAATCGTGACCCGGCTGCTTGAGATTCTCTCCCAGGACACAGAAGGGTTTGCCAGGAGGGCTGTTGTAAAGTTCTTCATCGCCTGGTTCTCTTCACATACGTCACACACGCCCCCGTCGTCGCCTGCCTCCCCCTCCTGCTCTCTCCTCATGCAGTCTGTACGCTCCGTCCTCTCACGAGGCTGTGCCGATCTGGACTGGGAGGTCAAAGTTCACACGCTGGAGCTGGCGGAGTTGCTGCTGGACAAAGCCTTTTTGGGGCACGGGAGTTACACGAAGGGCTCGGACGCACGTCCGGCCCAACCACACGCATACGCTGTGATGCCTGACCGAGCCTACACACTTCACACACACGGAGACACGCGCGCACAGGACGCGGAGTCAGATTTAGTCGACGTGTTGAAGAGTCTGGTTGAGCAGGGAGTCATCTCTGCATTGCTGAGCGGTCTGGTCGATTGCGATAGGCCTGTAGCTTTAAAGGCCTGTAGACTGCTGATAACACTCAGAGTGACAGTTTGTCCGGCATCGCAAGGGGACCCAGATGTATCTGATGCCACGGCAACAGTTGCCAGAGTGTCCTGTGAGCTGCCCAGAGCAGGTTGGGCACAAGAGATCAGAAAGATACTGGGTGTAAGGACTGAGGCTAATGCTGAGAGAGATTTAAATGCACTCAATGCCACCAGCTTTGAAGACCACAGCGAGGAAGGAGCGAGCGCTGTGAGTCATTGCGAGCGCGTAAGCGTGTGTGAAGCGTTGGGCTCTCTGGGTTTGGACGACAGGCTGGAGATCCTCAGTAGAAGCAGTGACCACGTGCATAACTCGCCCCTCTCACTACTGCAGGACATACTAACTGCGAGCACCTCTCACACTCATTCAAACACACAACCAGGGCAAGAGGTCATAGTGGACTGCTACTAACGCACACACGAATAAATCAAGTTACATTTCTCTTCATGTTGTTGCAATATTCAAATTCGTTGAATCCAAGAGGAGCACGCTAATTGTGGTTTTTTATTTGTTTGCTTGTTTACTTCTTTCACCTGGGTAATTGTAATGCAGCAGTTGAGTTGTAATCAAAAAGTTTTGTGACTCCACTCCACTGATTTAAATGTGCCCACTGTCACCTGCACCTTTACACCACTCACAGTGCCGCTGCTATGCATCGCTCCCAGCTTGAATGTACAGGATCAATCCTGGATCTCAGCTATGACTCAGACGTTCACTCCAAATTACACACAGCTCAATGAAAAAGCAGATTTGGCTCCCTGCGACTTTGTCCTCTCTTCCGCAACAAAATTCAAGTTGAAGGCTCGCAGTGGAGGAGATCCAGCCCTCACGAGGAGAGAAGCATAAAGGCACAGTGACAGCATTTTTACACCTGTACTTACAAACCTTTTGATCATATTTCATGTAATTAATTAAAAGAAAAGACCCAACATCCTATAAGGACCCCAGCCACATTTAAAACATATAGCTATAGCAATGTGTCGCGGTAAATTGTCAGCATTTGTTTGCTGTTCGTGCACCACTTTAAATGAGAATATGAGCTAAATATAGACAATCCCAGAGTTGATGTGAAGCAAAAGAGGTGCCAAACACTTTCTTTGCATTGTCCAACCTGCCACTGAATGATGTCACAGTGGCCACTCACATAAGTGGGATCTAAAAGCTCAACTGAAGTTTATTCACATCAAAATCCTCTAAATAAATGCAAATTTTGTAAAAAAAAAAGCGTGTTATTTTATTGCTTTTTTTTATCAGTCACTAAGGGAATCTGTGAAGACGTCCTCCGCTGCATCCTCTGACTGCGTAGATGTTATTTTGTTGTGCTTAAACGCACACAGGCAATCTTTAGGCTCAGGTTTCAAAACACGCATTTCCCTGTCAAAAGCGCGAGTAACCAAATCCGCTGGAGCCACTTTGTTACCTCCTGTCCTGATCTTTTAGCATTGCAGTCTACTTCAGGTCCTTTTCCATTGCTTCAAAGTGTGAGCCTCCCACTGTCGCTGGTTTCCCTGGTGGACATGCTTTAATAAAGCCCCAGAGTTTAAAGTGTGTAGGCAGAGAAGCTGGGAATGGAAAAAGGCGGTCGCCATCTCCACGTGTTCACGCTCTAACTCTGTCACATGTATGCAGAAAGGGACGCAGAAAAACTCTGCTCATTAACTTAAGAGCAGAATATCAGCCACTACGCACACACACACAGTGATTATGTCATCACCCCGTGCTGTCCTCTACTCAGCTGTAGTATCTCTCCATTCATGAAGTGAAACTGTTGCCGAGGCTCCTCCGCTGCACTCTTTCTGTCTGGGATGGAGGCTGTGGCTCTTTTCTCTTTTGCAGCATCAGAAGCAGACGAGATCAGTTTTCACAAAGGTGATATCATCAAGGTAAGTAGGTCTTTTAATGCGTTGAGAAATGTTTTGTTTTGTATGTCGACGCAGAGTAATTGTGCGTGTGCATGTGTGTTATAGGTGACAGAAATGGAGGAGGATTCTTGCTGGGTGACAGCAGAGATCCAGGGGAAGCGTGGCTACGTGCCCGGGAACTACATTTCCCTCCTTCCACACCTGTAAAAAGAACTATTTTGTCCACTTGTGCTGCATGAGTAACTCTTATCAGGCTTCAGTGTGTAGTCAGACTGTTTTCTTGTGATTGGATTGTATCATTTTAAGGAGTTTTAGAGGCCTAAAGATAAAAAAGCAACAATTTAGGATGTCATCATTTGTGCTTTATTCCTTTTGTGAGCTAATGGGGGAAACACTGCCTTACATAACTGATTTGAATACTGCTTTAATTGTCTTTTAAATGCCAAGAGAAGTGTGTGAGAAGTGTGTGCTGTTGTGTGCTCTGGTAGGTGGTTTGCAGGACCGGTGTCAAGACTTGAGGCTGAACAGCGTCTGCGTTGGCAGGACACTGGAGTGTTCCTGGTGAGGGAGAGTGAATCAGCTCCGGGAGAGTTTTCCCTCTCTGTTAGGTCAGTGAATGCACCACAAACACACACAAAAACAAGAACGTCAGCTTCAGTCGGGATGAAAGAATGTGCTTAAATCTGTCCATGTGCTTAAATCTGTCCATTTCCATGTTCATTTCTCATGGGCTCACTCTGCTGTCCTGCTTAAATAACCCATTCATCCACCGGTTATATCAAACTCCATCTTTATGATCAACGACTGTTCACATGCTGCGTGAAACACACACACTCCCCCACGCACACATCCTTGCAGCGTGTCCCTGCGGTATTAAGTGTGCTGTTGGATGTTTGTTTTCCATCCCACTGACTAAATGAGCACATTAAAGCGTCCACGTGTCTCTGAGCGTGTGTCAGGGTCGGCACATAGGAGAGCCAGACTATTTAAATTGCTTTATGAGAACCGGTTGAACTAAAAATATCACAGCAGCACAGACAGAGCACAGAGAGGAGGAGGAGGGGGCGGTGCAATCTGGGTCACCAAAGTGACGTGGGACACATTTAATCACTAAGGGTAAATTGAATGTGTTCAATAATCGGGCCATTGCGTAACAACAGACAGTCTTTAATTAAACACAGGTACATTATGTAATGGACACATGCCACAGACGGGCACGTACACAATGTGCTCATGTTAACATTTTAAGGCGTAACATCTGTCTACCTGCGAGGTTTACGAGAGATGAGAGGTGTACAGAAACAAAACAATGTGATGCTAAAGTCGATCAGCAGAGGGCGATAAAGATTCATGAAGAATGGCTGCGTAGTCTGTGCCCAGTCTTGTTTTTATTATCATGGAAAACACATTACAATACATTCCAGGACAAACCAGGAGTTTTACAACATGGGCCACATACGCTCAGTTTCATCTTAAGTGGGTTGGAGTGGTAAAGCTAACGCACAGTAACTCATTTAAAAGATTTTCAATGTAAAGAAGGTAAACTACAGTTTGATTGCCAGAGATGTCTTCAGAAACAATACTTCTGCTTTTTATCATTACAAAGAAATACTGCTGTAGTAAATTTAAAAAAAAAAAACTGTCAGCAGGGTCATTGGGCTCAGACTGTAAAGGAAATAAAGAAATGAAGGACTTCGTTTATTTGCTGTGACAGAAATCATCTGTGAATTGAGTGTAGCATTATTCATTTGTAAAAAGAAACTTATTTTGTAAACAGGGATTATGAAGGGATTTTTCCTGTTTTTAAACTGAATATTAACAATAAAAAAAGGAAATTTCCTTGCAGTTAATGGTTTATCTGTTACTGGTGGATAACAGCCCATTGGTTGTGTCTTTGACAGTAAAGAAGCTAAAACAAACAAAAATACTAGGGGTGCAACGATATTCATATCGATATTGAACCGTTCGATACAGTGCTTTCGGTTCGGTATGCATATGTATCGAACAATACAACATTTGTAATTTATTTTATCAACTTTCCTTCTGACTATGCTGTCTGTGTGGAGCGCTCAGTGAATCTGCGTTCGACTACTCCGCCTAGGCTGCACTGTCGAGCGCAGATCCACTGAGTGCTCCACACAGACAGCATAGTCAGAAGGAAGAGCGCAGGGCAAGCTAGCAAGACAGAAGTTAAGCTCTCCTTGCAACATGGAAAATTGAACCTCCCCCACCCTCATTCAGATCTGGCGTTTGGAATTATTTTGGTTTTCATGTGACGTATGACCCTGAAGGTAAGCGAGTCATGGACTAAAGTAAAACAGTATGTTGGATGTGCCATGCAATGCTCAATTACATGGGTGGGAACTAGTGTGTTAGCGCAGTTAGCTCGTTAACGTGTTAGCCGTCTAGCCCCATGCACGGGGCGATCGGCGGTAGCTCGTTAACGGAGATTTGCCGTGTTGTGGCGTTAAGGTCATTTCAACGAGATTAACCTGAAAGCACTAGTGGGAACACAACGAATATGACTGCACATTTACGCCGACATCATCCTAGTGCAAAGACAAAAACAACAAGCATGCTACTAACTTTAGCCGAGTCATTTAGACAGCTGTTAGCACAGGATTCTCCTTATGCTGCTGAGAATATAGCCCAGAAGAAGCGGATAGTATAGCTTTTATTTTGGAAAGAGACATTTCTCTGTAATAAACTCTCTTTTCCAAAGATGAGTGATTCCTCAATCAGATACAGGGCTTGCAATATCGCTAGCCCGACGTCCTGGGGCTAGCGATTTTTTCAGTCGGGCTACCAAAATCTATCTCTGCCCTGCCCGTCGGGCTATTGTAGGAAGGAAAAATATATGTCAATGCTTTTGCATTCTTTCAGAAATGTAGCTGGGTAATTATGTCATTGGCATCGGTGAGCCACTGTCAATATGTGACATATTGAAATCGCGTTTGAATTTGCGCTTGTTTTTTTGCTTTCACTCTGCAATCGTGTGAACTGTGTATAGAGAGCGACAGCACTGATCTGTGAGTGATGATAATTTGTGCACCAATTCCTCTGACATCGTCTTATTAATCGTTAGCTTACTATGCAAACATGACAAGTGAAATCTCACGCAGCTTAAACATGTGAGAGGTTGATCGCGCAGAGAATCGCTGAGCTTATGTGAGTGAGTGTGTAAAAGCATTTCAGTTCTGCTGAGCCAAACAAGACAGGTCAGGGTGAAGAAGTGACAGCCAAAGAAAAGCTTACCACAAAACGGAGAAGTTATGACAAATCAGACTATAAGGCAAAAAGAAAGTGCAGCTTTATGGTTTCATGGACAAAAGAATTTCTGTGGCTGCAATATGACGAGCTAAATAACCAGGGCTGCACATAAGTGGTCCGCAGGTGCGCATTTGCTGTCAAAATAAAAAACACGCACAAGGGTTAGGGTTAAATTTAAAAACTGTACTTTTGAGTTAAAATATATATTTATAATTTTAATAAATGACAAATTAAAAATGCATGAACATTTTTTTTGTATCGAAAAAATATCGAACCGTGACACCAAAGTATCGAACCGAACCGAACCGTGAATTTTGTGTATCGTTGCACCCCTAAAAAATACAGTTGAACGTTCAGAATTTATTAACTTTGAAATGTCCACATTTTCCAAAACTTTTGCCGCATGTTTGACACCCCTGACCTCTGACCCTTACAGAACTGTCTGTAGGCTTGTTATCATTCTGTAACACGCGCTGAGTGAGAGTTCGGATTCCCAGCAGATGGAGCTGTTAACGGGGAAATCCGTTATCTGCACTGCTGAGACACATGTTAAAGACATTTCAGCTTGGGCGCGTTTCTCATAAACACTATTCATAAATATGATAATAATATTTGGGAGTGGGACAGCGGTGTGGTGGTTAGCACCATTTCCTCACAGCAGGCAGATCCTGGGTTTAACTCTAGTCCAAGGCCTTCTGTGTGGATTTTGCATGCTCAGTGTCTGAGTGGGTTCTCTGCAGGTGTGGCTTCCTCCCACAGTCGTCGGGTTAATCGGTGATTCTAAATCAGCTGTATGTGTGAATGGTTGCCTGTCTCAATATGTGTTAGCAACCTGTCCAGGCCGTACCCTTCCTCTCGCCCCACGAACGCTGGGATAGGCTCCAGCCACGACTGCGACCCTGAATTGGCTAAGTGGAAGAGAATGGACGGTCCCATCGTGTTTTGTACCAGGATCTTGGTACTGTACTATCCATGTACAAAAGTGCCATAATCAATATTATATAAATCACACCTGTGCCTATCCTGCAACATCATGTCAAAATGGGCCTCTTGCTCCTGTCAGTGAAAAACTCCTCATAGCAAAAACTTTTGAAACTATTTGTTGTTGTTGGTTAAACAGTTCCAGGAACATCTCATAAAACTAAAAATAATAGATTACCTTTTTTTTCATTTCACAAAACATTTTGCTGAAAGGTCCCTAAATTTATCAGTTATGCCTGTGTAAGATCATCACAACAGTAAATCCATTGTTTCCATTGCATAGTCTCGGCCTAATTAAGACTTAGTTATCTGCATGTGTGTGTGTGTCTGTGTGTGTTCCTGTCTAGCTATCTTTGTGAGGACCCAAAGCTGCATTCTACTATACTTGTGAGAACCAACAGTCACTTGTGAGGACACACAACCCGGTCCTCACAAATGTGAAGACATTTAAAGGCATTTTTGAGGCTCAAAATGTGGTTTTAGTGTCAGGGTTACAATTAGGTTATGGTTAGGTTTAGGGTAAGGGTTAGGCATTCATTTTTAATGGTTAGGGTTAGGGGCCAGAGAAAGCATTATGTCAATGAAGGTCCTCACTAAGATAGCTGAACGGCATTGTGTGTGTGTGTGTTGGCGGGGGGCGGGTCTGACATCTAAGTTACACACAACAGAAATGCAGTAGTATATGTAGTATAAGGTGCATGGTTGAAACTGAAAAGATATCTCAGTCTGTCAATGATTACACATCTAAAACGTCACAAAGGCAGTTACTCCCCACAAAACAGATAACACAACAAAAGAGATTATGTGAAGTGAGAGTGTGTTGGTCAAAGCTACAGTTCAAATGTAATAAGGTTTCATAGTGGAGATGGAAATGTGTTCCCTAAATAAAGTGCTTACCCTTCTTTGTAATTCGTGAAGTCGACCTGAGAAAACACTGTGTTTCCCAGCAAGAGAGAGAAGGAGGGTTGAAATATGTATTATATTTTTTTCATTATATATTAATGTTCAGCTGCAAAAATAATTTTACACAAGTCTTTGTTGTTTGATTTATCCATCTTTTCCTTTAACAATTTCTGTTGTTAATACTAAACTAAGAATAGAACAGGACATATTAGGAAAAAACAGCCAAACAGCACAGACCAAAGAAAAATAGAAAGAGAGGGAGAGGTTGGTTAAGATATCAGGACAGGTAGATACTGGGAAAGGTGAATGACTATGACGTGTAGTGTGTGGCAAGAGGTGCTGCATGTGTGTACGCCAGTTTTCTTAAACAGAGTTCGAGAGAAAGAGAAAGCAGGAAGAAAGAAAGAAATTTAAGTTAATGAGCAACAGTCATGATAAGAAGCATCAGGAATATTAATCATCTTTCTCCTCATGTTCATCATCATCGTGATCATCATCACTACCGCTTTCAACACAAACTCATCATCATCTTTATTGTCATTTATGTGGAGATTTATAAGTGTAAAGGTCATATGTTTATATATGGTAGGAATTATGCTGAGCCATGTTTTTAATCGAGGGTTTCCTGGGTTTGAAAGTTGCCATGGTTGCATTGCTGTGCTGTTTGAATCACAGTTGAAGTTTAACCCAGTGCATGACGTCCATCAGAACTCTTATTGGGCAGTCAGCAGGCAATAGATCCGAGTGTTGTGCGTCTTTTAAGTCGAGATAAAAGTACCCCAGTGACTGTGATGGGACACGTTATAAAACAAATACAAATAATAACATTTGAAAAATAATTGTTTTTGACTAAATTATGGGGTCTATGTTTGAATCTTCCTGATGAAATAGTGAAATAGTGTTAATAACAGCTTGCCTAGTCATTTCATGGCCTCACCTTTCACGGTTGCTCTGTGCAGGTTAATGTGGCTGCTCACACAAAGACATTTGAAAATGATGGAGTGTGATTTTAGTTGGTGGTGTGACTGAGGGAGTTCCCGAACAAAGAATGAGGACGCACATGCTTGTCTTCCTTCTCATCAGCTCTCTCGTTTTCCATGTTCACCACTCTTATCTTGCAGCTATGGCGACAGGGTGGAGCATTTCCGCGTCCTGGAGGGCGGCGGTCAGTACTGCATCTGGGAGGAGTCGTTCTGTTCCCTCAACCAGTTGGTGGATTTCTACAGAACTCACAGCATTGCTGTGGAGAAGGTGGTCTGCCTCAAAGATCCTCCCTCATCCCCTCAGCTGTTGTCGCACTTGGCGCGTAACCCCTATCCTAACCCTTACAAAAGCACCTCTCAGGAGTCCATCCCCTCGGGCCGTCTCTACTCTAACCCCTCTCACCCGGAGGGAAATACATCATCGCGTCTGCTGAAACCAGTTGTGGAGGTATGACACACCACCTCGACGCGTCTCTGTTTCTCATAAACGACTCGTGCTTCTGTTAAACACGCACCTGTCTGTCTGACTTCCCCGTTTTGGCTCCGTCTTTGTGCAGAAGCCTCGGCTGGCTCACGCCCTCTGCGACTACACCCCCCCTCACACCGCCCACCTCCACTTCCTGCGCGGTGACATCATCGACCTGCTGGACTGCTCGAGCTCCTTGAGCTGGAGGGGTCGCTGCCGAGGCCGGGTGGGGGTCTTTCCACCGGAATACGTGCAGCCGCTGTACCACTGACGCCATATCAGGACCGGGGCTGCGTTGCTGACACTTATCGGTCAGCCTGCAGTGACTCACCTTTCTTATCCAGTGACCAATCGCTGAAACGATTAGTCAAATGAGACTGACTGAGCAGATTTCATTACTGATTAAAGACCTATTTCCTGTCATCTTTTCACTATGACCTTTAAATGATAGGTCCTGTCTCTACGATAGCGACTTGTCAATCTCAAGGTTTGCCCGCCCTGAATCATATCGCCTATTTTACTACAAACGGGACCATCATTTATCAAATGAACACCACGCTGTAGACAGCAAGATCTGAAAACGGCAACTGAGACCATGAACCAGTTCAGATCCTGAGGTCATACATCCATGAGCACTGCAGTCATTTTCTCATACAGGCCTGCTGCCCGGCAATGCTGCTGACCATTAGAAAGAATCCAGGTTTAATTCACCTCACCGGCGGCTTCATTTTTCACACCCCAAGGCTGTTTCAATCTTTTATATACAGTCTGTGGTTGAATACAGTTGGATAGGAAGAGATGTCACACACACACTTACACAAAATCACAACAAAAACACACCCTTACGCTCCGGATTACCCTTTGACTGTTAAACTCTACCTAATACCTGCGAGTGTAAGTGGATTCACGTCTATTTAGTTATAAAGAAATGAACCAACGGCCTTTTGTAGGCAGGCTGGAGGACTTCAGTGCAAAATCAGTGTAGCACTTTTCAGGTTTTTGTTGCTTTTTAAAAAAAATAATGTATGCCATTTTAAGTAATAAAGACAAATAGCAAACAATGCTTCTGGTTCCCTCTTCACAGATCTGAGGATTTGCCGCTTTCTGTGTCTGACACCATTATCCTTATTTCCTAAATAACTCTGGAAGTTATTTATATAGCAAAGCTTGGCTGTGCTTCATATTTGTGGGGTAATTTTACAGACTTATCAGTAAAACTAATAACAACTTACAGATAATTTCATCATAAGCCAAATTGTGCCGTTTAATCTGAGTCATTCTGAACGGCTTATACTGAAAATATGAAGTGAAATTTAACTCCATGTTTGCTTTGTATAGCCATCTTATCTTTGCTTGTACCCCCCACCACCACCACCACCACCCACCACACCAGTGCTTATTGTACATAAACTACACAGAAGCCGAATAAAGAGTCTGGACACAAACTTCCGTTTTTTTATCTTTTTATGCACACATCATTCAGTTCAGTTTTGATATCACCTGGAAAAAAAGATTACAGGACCACATGGAAATATTACTACTGATAAAATGAACATGAAATTTCTCATTGTTTCTCATTGGGATGCATTTGGAGCTACACTCACTGTTCCATTGCTTCCATTGGTAAAGACTTCAATATAACAGCTTTAGGTCATGTGTGAGAAGTTCTGATTAAAATTCATAAATCATGTAAATAAAATTTTAAATCAAAAGAACATTTAGTGCAAACATTCACACAAAGCTCTAAACATAACTAAATAATCAACACTGAGCATGTCGTTTCTAGGCAACAATATTATGTCACATGCAGAGCCTGAACCACACTGATGTGCTCTCACTGCATATTGTGAAGCTTTAAATTAAAGGTGATATTTGATGTCCTTTTATTTATTGTTGGTTTGTTATAATCCACACACTTCAACATTTTATTTCCATTATTATCTAAATGTAACTGTTTTAATAGATATGTGTGCTGTGCTGTCCACCGGCATCTACCGGCTTTACACTGTCAGTCGATGTCTTAATGATTCGAGTGAAATCTGAGCAAAAACCTGTTTGTTTCTTCACATTCTTGGATCTAGAGGGATCACTTTCCAGCTCGTGTTGGAGGGACTACAGTTCAGCTGAGGCCAGATGTTAAATCTGACCTCACCTCAGGCAAAGTATGCATAGAGAAAAATGTTAATGCTGACCAGCAGGAGAGCGTTGAAACAGCAGAACCTCGACCACAACACGCTCTCTCGAATGCTGGGGACTCTGGGAGCTGGAGTCTCCTCTGATCTCCGTACTGCTGAGATACACAGTCCTGCCCTCTGACCACATGTCGTCACCCGCCGTGTTGGTTCAGAGTCTGCAACACACACACACACACACACACACACACACACACACACACACACACACACACACACACACACACAGAGCGGACACAGTAAGTTACTCAAAAACAGGAGCAGTGTGTGTGTGTGAGAATGACTTGTTTTTCACATGATAGCTGGTTATTCCCCGTGACTGCTGACAAACTTACCCTGGGAGCTACGGTGGCTGATGGAGGACACTTTTTGCAGAGGAATGTCTCTTTTTGGCTCTTCAGTTATTGTCCACCAGGTCAGGTTACACACCTGGGAAAAATCGAAGAAGCAAAACCAAGAAAGTTTCATTTATTCACTATCAACCAGGTAAAACTCTACTGCCATTTTGACATGAGGTGACCCTGACAACACCCTGACTTTAACATTTCAAAAGTTACCCCCACTTGCTATTTTTTGCAAAAATGTATAAGATCTTTATTGCATGTGCATTTATAGTGCGTATAACGTGCTATCACAAGCTGTAAACAAGGGACGATGCAGATAGGCACGATTATCTGATGCTAGAGATAAAAGCTGCTTTCAATTGCCCCCTTTTTATGAGAGATCATCACAGCATGCTCTGCCTGTTTGTTTTGGCTGAGTATAACAGCGGACGCCCTTCCTAAAGCAACCCCAGTGCAGACTCTATGTTATAGATGAGTGCAAGTCTGTTTAATTCTCTGTAGTGACAGAGTGTTTTCCCCACCAGACACAGACCATACTTGATTAAGCTTACTTCCCTCATAGTCGTATTATCTATTGTATCCATTTGTGCACACCTGTTCGTGAGTGGGCGGTGGTGTAAGCAGTGATACAACGGCAACCACAATTGCCGTGAGCCCACAGAGCAGAATGGCGAAGTGGAGGTAGTGGACACCACGTAGCACCGCAGGTGCCGAATCCTCAACGCCACATCTGGAAGGAGGGAAGGCAAACTCCAGCACCATCCTGCACACGCCGACCACCAAACCCACCATCAGACCCCAGAAGGCGCCCTAAAAATCACACAAATACACCTAGATTGGATTACATGCCTTTCTGAGCCGAGTAGCTGAATTTAATTGGACAGGAAGCATGTGTCTCATTCCTGAGGCAACTGTGAACCACACATGGGTGCGTTCAGCTAATGTCATCACTTTCCCAGAGATATAATTTGTCATCGTCACATCACTCACTTCTCACTTACTGTTAATACACACAAACACGCAGAGAGGCACAGATCACTCTCCGACTCCTTCAGCCTTCAGTGAAGAATGTGATCTGTGCAGTTTGAAAATAACTGCCTTGTAGCCACACACAGAGAACATATCTGATCTTATTTTTCCTTTATTTTCATTCCACCTGTTCTTATTTTTTAGACATACCTCACATGTACAGTTCCTATAATGTAACATGCACAGATACTAACTAGGATCCAGATATTGTGTTAGTAATTACAAGGTTAGCTGACATTTTTATGAGCTTAATTCACTGCCCAGCTTTGAACACAACACACATTGTGTTCCTGTGCAAACACTTTCGATTGTTTGCAATCTACAGTGTCATTCTGCTCAGCGTGTGACTCATCCCGTGCTGTAATGTGTGTCCTTTGACCCCGTGATTCAATATCATTTATATTTTTATTGTGTTTATCCAAACATACAAAGCTCACAGCTTTTGTGTAACCATGTAGTTCACCTTTTATAACAACCTTTTAATAGGTCTAAAGTGAAATGGTAACATAGAAAAGAAACAGAGACACCATATGAGACACTATATGGACAAAAGTATTGGGACACGCCTCTTAATCCTTGAATTCAGGTGTTTTGAGTCCCATTGCCACAGTGTTTGTAAAGGCAGTCTGCCTTTACAAACACTGGTTTGGTCTAAGGATTCATGCTTCATGGCATGGGTTTCCATGTCTGAGCAGCTCCTTCAGGTGGCCAAGTACTTTTATCTCTACAGTTTATTAATAGGCTCACTTTTGGGATTAAATGTTTCAGAGACTGAGGTCATTTAACAAACTTTTTCTGCCACATTTTTACCCTTTGGCTAAAAAAAGGCCAATCTGGAATGGTCATCACCCTACTGGGAGTGTTGGGTGGGCAGGCGGGTGGTGTGGACACACAAGTTCGTGTATGCAATAACTTGAGAACAAGGTGACGTATGGGATATTTCAAGAAGGATTTTCACCTAGGATTTTCAAATTGGCGCACCTGCTATTAGTTTGAGGGGTAGCACTGATGGCCAACAGTATTTATTATCACTGTAGTGTAATGTTAGTAGCAAACAAAACTGAAGAGCCTAAATCAATGCTGGCGACTAACCTAAAGTGCTCTTCTAATCCATGTTTTGCCTGATTATGATGCCAGAGGAAATCTTAAAGAAGCTATTGAGATATTTGAGCCTTGGCCAACGAAGTGAGCCGACGTGGATAAGATTTTCTTTTACGTAACAGAGATGTCCTTTGACCTGCAAATCACCAAATGTGTGTTTGCTTGGTGATTGCCAGCTCATGTTGTAACCCCAGGCGATTTCACTGCAAACACAAAATAATAAAAATCCTCTAAAGTAGATTCTGTGCAGCTTAACTGAGCTGGAGGGGAAGTAGTATTCACAGTAAGAGGGAAGGGAAATCCTGTTCATTAGAAAAACCTGAGAAAATGCTCTTTCTTTCAGTCTGTGGACAACGTGCCAGCAGCGAGAGCAGACACACCCAGGACGTGCTCTATTAAAACAGGGATCGTGAATATCCAGAGGACTGGTCTTTACTTGCTGGCGATCGACGCTTGAACACGTGTGATATCAGATTTAACCCAGTATGGCTTTCCTTCTCATCTCCTCTGCACTTCATTCTGCAGGTTTTAATTGTGACAGTCACAGCAGGCCTCTGTCGCTCACAGTCTGTTATCAAAGATCACCAATGACTTTTATTGTTTAAAGTGAGAACTCCGGCTCCTCTAGAGGAAGCAATAAACAATACACTTCATGAAGTGAATTACTGATACACACAGCTTTGAGCTCACACACAAGGGACACCACACCAAGCACTCTGTGCGCATGTGTGTGTGTGAGAGAGCTGCACACAGCTTGATCCCATTTGAGGCTAATAAAACTATGCAGCCGTTACGGTGTAAGTGAAAGGACAAACAGAGCAAACAGGGGAAAACCTCAAAAGTCCAGAATGTTCTGAGGGCAGGTATCCGGGATGGAGGGTTAAGCTTCCTTCAGTGTGTAACAACAACTTACAGATGTCTTTTCTTTCTGTGTTGTAAGTGTGTTTGGAATAAAATAGCTTTTTTAACTACATCATGATGTAATTGAACCGCTGTGATTTTTGCTATTTTCATCATGTCACAGAAAAATCATGAATGAAAGACAAAATAGTAATTTCGAGTTGCAGCTGTAACTTTATTATATTGATTGTCAGTGTGCTACCTGCTCATTGGTCCTCTTCCAGAAGATGGCCAGAGTGAAAACAGCAGTGACGGGTGGAGCGAGGTAGCTCGTCACCGACTGGATGTAAACGTACAGCTGCCCGCTGTTGGCTGACTGGAGGATGGGGATCCAGACCACGCTCACCACCACCAAAATCACGGTCACAATCCTGGGGCAAAGGCAAACTGTGTCAGCGCGTCTCTTTTCTTTATGAATCAACCTCCAGCTCATTCACACATGAGTGCCACACCTGCCAACCAGCAGCAGCTCTCTCTCAGAGGCTCGTGGCCGGTGCTTCTTCCAGATGTCCATGGTAAAGAGCGTGGAGCTGCTGTTGAAGATGGACGTCAGCGAAGACATCAGAGCGGCCATCATCACAGCTATCATAAGTCCCCGCAGGCCTGCAAAAATGCATACGCAGACACTCAGATGCAGGTGAAAACACCTGAAAAGTGTTGTGTGGCTGCTTGGGAAAAAAAACACATTCTCACCGCTTGGCATGAGTTCAATGACCAGTTTGGGGAAAGCAATGTTGGAGCATCCAACCTCAGCTCCACACACTCGCACACACTCCTCTGGATCCACACAGCCTACAGAGTCTGAAACATGGAGGCATAGTCAAAAGTTGTGTGCATGAGTGGAAGGTGAAGGTGACTTTTCCTCTCATCCAGAATTCAAGTTTGTTCCCTTTAAGTCCCACGAAAGGTACTAAAGGGCAGATTCAGGGTTGTTCCATGTGAAAGCATTCAAATGTGTCTGTTCCAACTACCTACAACCCTCATTCACAGTCACACTGGAGTAGCCAGCTAGTATCCACTGCTCTACCTCTTTAACCACCCTGAACACCACTGGTTTGCTTTGCAATTTGCTGCTTCGTTACCTGTTTAGCTGATGACAAATTTCTTTGTGACATAAGATGGCATGTCCCTTTACTCACCTTACCGAAGTTTAGAGCGGACACATCTAATCGCTGTGACCCTTGTGGTTGATGCATTGCCCATCCAGCTGTCTCATTCTCATAGCATGCACTGATCCTGAGACCCTCTGTGATCCAGGGCACTGTCAAAATCTGGGTCTAAAGCCGTTTGATCAGTGTAATGTGGCCAAGCTCCTGTACATGGAGCATGTGAATGTTGTTTCTTCATTTCATAGCCATAAACCAATTTAACTTAATAAATGACAAAGTTATTTAGTAGAAATCATGAGTAGAAGATGTGGCTGGGGTCAAACTGTAGATAAAACCAATACTTTGTTCCATGTGTTGATATGACCCTTGGACTTTTTAAAAGTTTTCTCCAGTGAACTATCAGAAAAAAGATACAACATCCATGCACAAATAAGGTTTCTGTCAACTTATGTCACTGATGTTAAACTGGTGGAGTTTCTCTATTAAAACTGCGTCCCATGATGTTCACGCTCAAACCTGTTTATAGAAAAATTAGATCATGGCTTCAGACTGTGGCATTTGAGGTCAATGTAAAATCGATTTCTTAAAACAGAATTTAAACGTAGTTTTCAGCCGTGAAAGTTTCATGTGTCTAGCTCCTGTATTTATACTTATAAAGTTAAACAGAAGGTTACACTTGGCATGGCTTTATTAAATATGGACAATTTGTTATTGTTAAAAGAAATCTAACAAACAACTGATTCTGGGTCAGGTGGACGGCATTGATTGAGTTTTCCTGGAATGACTCTTTCCAGGTACTTCAAAGGGTCAGTCTGAGCTAGATGGGTTCAAATGTATTGCCTGTTCAGTAAAAAAAAATAAAATCCTTTTCGAGTTACCATCCATTGTGTAGCTAGGAACTAGGAAACACCATCTGTGGGAAAAGTGTTTGCACAAACAGCTGAGTTGGCTCAGAGGCATCATGACCAAATGTTGGATACTTGTTGTGTAGCCTTGTGAGACGAGAATGAGGAAAGGAATATATTAAAGCCACAAACTTTAACATGTATATACATAATCACACACTACATAGCTACACACGCTCCAGCTTCATTGGCTCCAGTAAGACTGGAGTCTTTCATCAAAGCTACTCAATAATTTTTCCCAAATCACCACCCACAGCTCAGCTGAAACATCCAGGAGACCTGAGACACATTTCATTTTCACAAGTCTGCTACATGTTAAAAAGCGCAAAAAGGGTGACCTATTTGATTCTCTATCTGGCTAATGTTATATATTAACCCTGATAAAGCTATTGTTTTTCAGCGTTACCTTTCAGAGACCCGTGGATAAGCAGCAATCACAGGAAACCGGGGAAAAAGCCTGCACTGATATAACAGTAGAATAACTATTAACTTTTAGGTTCATTTAAATGAATGAATAGTGAAAGTATAAGCTTAAACAGAGTAGTCACGTTTTATATATATATATATATATATATATATATATATATATATATATATATATATATATATATATATATATATATATATACACACACAAATAATAAAATCATATTGTATAACTTGTTATAGCCTCTTGGGTTAGCTCCACGGGCTTTCGTAAGGGTTCTAATTTGGGGTGAAGAACAAGATTTCCCCCTGTGTGCTGGCAGGAGGGTGGAGTTTAATGCCTCTCTTTCCTAACCAACTACCGGACACTCCGCCTCTCTGCCCCCGGACACCGAGCTTCCGTTGCCGGATTCCAGGGTCAGACACTCGGCGGCGGCTCCGCCACACAGTCTGCTGGACCTGGACGAACTTCGTGTGACTGCAGCGACACTTTAAAGTAAAGAGGCTCGGTACCGCCACGTTAGCGAAGACTGCTTTGTGTTCTTTCCGGGAAGTTTCCTTTCTTTGAACATCTGTACACCTCTGGCTTCAGGCTCGCGCTCCGACACAACAAAAAAAAAAGAAAAAGTGGAAAAGTGAGTCGTCAGCGCCTCAGTCAGACTGAGTCACACACAGTTTAAAAGTTTTACCGAAGGACTAATGACTTCTTTCTTTGTGTCGACTGCCTGTTCCGCTTTAGACTGACTCACTGGCAGACACACACTCATCCACCCAGACAGCTGCTCGTCTCTCTCCGTGTCTGCCGGGCCCCGAGGCTGGAGAAGCAGCCGAGCCGGGCCGCAGCTTTCCGCAGTTTTCCGGCTCCTGTCAGGTGTAAGGCGTGGCGCTGGGCGTGGAGGAGGGGGGCTTTGTTCCAACCACACCTGAGAGAGAGAGATATCTGTAACCCGAGAGCAGGGCTGAGCTGGAGCCTGCCCGGGTTGAGGAACTGATAGCGGTTTATTTGCCTCAGATGAAAATATCTGCCACTGGTCTGGTTTGTCCCCGGTCACGCGGACCCGAAATGGACCGTAATGACAGATCGCACTTCTTCCATGTTTGAACCCCCGGACGGACGAGTGGAAAGTGGGTCAGAGTGGTTTCAGTGTTTAACTATTTACTGACCGGCGGGTTTACTGGGGGTCATGGCGCTATCTCAGGTCCAGTGTCTAGACGATCACCACGTCAACTGGCGCGTGAGCGAGAGCAAACCGGAGTTTTTCTACAGCGAGGACCAACGGCTGGCCCTCGAGGCACTCATCGTCGAGGGCCGCGACGCGTTCACGGAATACATCAGCAAGCATGGCGTCCGGGAGTTCCTCTCGGAACCGGAGTTGGAGCGGATTGTACACACGGCGGAAGCATACAGGCCCGGCTACGAGCATCTCCAGAAACCCGGGACGCCAGGGCCAGGAAACACAACTCCGGGGCCCTGGGAAGAGACCGGAGACGATGAGGTGTCTCTCGAGTACTGGCCGGACCGGTCTGAGGGCTCCGTGGCAGAGCTGGACCTAGGCTGGCCCGAGGCCATCTCATACCGAGGGGTCACGCGCGTGACCGTGCACACACAGCCTCCAACCGAGGGGCACACGCACATCAAGGAAGTGGTGCGGAAGAGCATTGCGTCAGCCCAGAAGGTAGGCAGAGAAGAAGATGGAGTTTAGAGGTTCTCCACCAAAACAGAAACGCTTCACAGTGACGAGAATTAACCAGCTTATTGTCTTTTCACCACTTTATGTTGAATTATGTTAATATTCGCGATTTGATGCTTGGATTTTTATCGCAAGGTGTTTTTATTTGACTCCTCCATTCATGTAGCCAAAATGTGGGGGACAAAACACATCTTAGCTGAGTACAAATTCATGGCGAGCAGCATAATACAGAGACCTGAAACGCACCACAGCACTGAGTCAACGCAGCAACAGGAAACCGCATTAACAACTCATCAAAAACTGGAGTGCATTTTCTGTGCTGTCAGTGAATGCACCACAGTGAATAATTGTTTTCAATATTTCTCCAGTCAGTGAATGTATAAAGAAGTTCACTGCCACAAACCCGCAAGTTTCAAAACAATGCTTCACCATCACATTAAAGCAAAGAAGAAAAATCACTTTGTGCACTTAATAAAAATGATTTTGCTTGGCGTTAAAATGATTAGGCGAGTAATCAGTTAGTGGTCTGACAGGAAATTACTGTTGTGCCTCATCTGAAAAACACTTTGGCAATTAAGATTAATTGTTAATGACAATAACTCTTCTATCAATCTATTTATTTGTTGGCTGTTGCTGTTTGCATGATCGTTTTATCTTGTTATTAATATTTGTCTGTTGCCACCTATGATGCAGAGCACAGCACATTATGTTAGCCTGACTTTTTTGGACATGTTCCAAGTTCAGTTCACCTTTCTGTCTTCATTTCATAATTTGCCACAGACCTACTGTTGCAGCGTTGCGCAGCACATACTGTCCACCCACATTTTATCACCTCTCTGCCAAAAAACAGCCTCTGTTCCTAACAGGCTCTAAACTACAGGAATATTATGCTCAAATTTCTTGTGTTCCCAGCTTCCTTTGGGGATTGAATACCGCTGATAAAAGCAGCTGAAATAGAACCCACCCTCAGAGACCAGGAAGCACTAAAACTAACATTTGTGGTTTTCCTCTATGTGTATGTGTGCTGTTTTTTTTTGGTTTTTTTTAGGTGATAGCTGTGGTGATGGATGTGTTTACAGATGTGGATATCTTTCGAGACCTGATGGATGCGGCCTACAAACGCAAGATTCCTGTGTACATAATCATCGACATGGCTGCGGTGCCCTGCTTTCTTTCCATGTGTGGCAGAGCTGATATGCACCGTGGACACCTAAAGGTTTGTATTGCCAGTCACATGCATGCACGCATGGATGATGTTTTGCTGGGCTAGTTATAAAGAAGGGTACGCCCAATAAGTATACAGTAATGGGGAGGGGGAGGATTGGAAAAAACATCTGTTATTAAAGACACCTTTTTGAAATTATATAGTCACTATACAAAGGAACATTTTTGGGCGGCCCATGATTGATGTCGGTTGCCAGGTTTGTGCCTGCGGGTATTTGTGAGGTGCATGCTGCAGCTAGTTTGCAATAGCTTGGTTTTCTTTGTTATTCTCTGGCTCTCTTAAGTTGAGTTGAACTGGTCTAGGCAGTAACAGAAAATACTTAAGAGTTTCACGGGGGATTTTTTTTGGACTGGAGGCCAGAACGACGGCAGTTAAATTCCTGTCTATGCTGCAGGCAATAAAACCACACAGACTTTTTACTTTCTGTAACATGTTTTCCTTTCGCTTCTCCTTATTCCTTCCTCACGGCATTTACCGCATTGCCAGTCTCTTTTTTATCTGACATCTCTTCCGTTATTGTGAGCGCCATCACTCCCGTTGTTAATGTCCCCTGTGAGATTTCACACACAGCGTTTACTTACGAGGTAACGCTCAGCCTGTCAACCACACCCTTATCACAGAGCCGAACACAAACACCACAGGGTGTGTCAAACAGGCATGCACGTACGTAGATAGAAAGTCTATGCTCTAACCTGTAGAGGCACCCAGTGGGAGACTATGGAGGTATTAAAGCTGAGCACCGGCTCTTGAGTAACAAGGAAACGCATTCTCTTCTGCCTCTCCATTCTCTTGTTTCCTCTATTTTGCCCTTTGTTCACTGAAACCTTTCCATCCATCAGCACTAAACCCTCTAGAGGCTTTGGTTACCAAGCACTAACCCTTTATGTATGTGTGCATGTGCAGAACCTGCGCGTACGCTGTTGTGGAGGCGTGGAGTTCTTTACGCGATCGGCACAGAAGGTGCGTGGATCTCTGAGCCAGAAGTTTCTTCTGGTAGATGGAGACAGAGCCATCTCTGGCTCCTACAGGTGAGCAGCGTTCATTTGTGTCTCTAAATCTGCACAATTACATATTTTAAATTAGCCGTTAATTGCATGACCTTTTCCACTCAAAAATAAACAGGCATCCGTGCATTTCCCATGACCTCTGTGGAGGGCTTTAGAGCCTTTCAGCTCGCTGTTTTGGTTTTCTGACCTGCAGGTTTACTGGTCTGGTTTAGTCTTACCCAGTCCTTCCTGCTGCAGCATGCAGCTGCTTGCAGGAAATGGCCTTAATAAATCAGTCATACACATGCATTCCATACAAGACACACAGAGCTAGTAACTAACTGGTGAACATGCTGGAGCCTTTGACCACCATTTGTGGTGAAGAGCTAAACAGAGCTACACGGAGAGTGATTGCTGTTCTGTGTTTGCTAAGATAACACAAAAAGCGTAGCATCAATGTGGACAACTGCTTAAAGCCACTGTACCCCAGCTTTTCTCATTATTGATGGTTATCGTGGTTTCTCACCTGTCAGGGTCCTGACCTCTGAATCCACTTGATCCAGGTGCCTGATTCCTCCGGAAGTGTGACATGAATCGAATGGGGTTTTTTTTACTGTCAGCTTGTTGTTATGCATTGTGAGGCATGGCTAGTGAATTGTGTTTTGAGAAACAAGCGGATCAGTGTTGGCTTAAAATAGTTTGATTCAGACTGATTTGTTGGGGAAAATTGATTCCCCTCCCCAGCTGAAATTACAGAGTAAATGCAGACTCAGTGTCAGGCTAAAGATGTTGACGGAGTGTAAGGGAAGTATATTAAAGTCCATTGCTCTGCTTGTTTTGCTTTGGAGCCAGCAGTTACATGTCATAACAGTCACAATACGGTTTTGTTAGCGGCCAAAGCAAATTTTGAAAATTAGGTGTGTTATCCTTACCGTTTACTGTCATTTATAGTTGCTTCTTTACTGAAATGTCGGTGTAATGTGAGACTGGATCTGTTAGAAGGAATTTGAGGAGGAGTACTTATGCAATGTGATCAAAGACCAAAATGTGGTGCATTACATCAGAGTACAAAAGCGTGTTATAATGATTAAACTATTATAATCTCAGATTTCTGTTTTCTCAGTGGGAGCTGTGACTTGGAAGAAGGAGTTTAGATGTGATAAACAGGACCGGAATAGAGCTGGTAGGAAAAAAAATGTGCAAAGAAAACATTGAAGTCCCTTCTGAGACTTCTCTCCATTTCTGTGTTTTTCCAGTTTTACCTGGTCCTCGTCTCGTTTGGACCGTAACCTCATCACTGTGATCACAGGACAGGCAGTGGAGACCTTTGACCTCCAGTTTCGGGAGCTTTACCTCACGTCCAGAGGCGTGTCACTCAACAAGGTTCCTATGACAGACGAGCCGGTACCTGACCCTCTCCCTCAGGCGGCTCCTGCACCTGTGCCGGCTTCTGTTGCCAGGAAGCTCATCAACCCCAAATACGCTCTTGTCACCACGGGGACCCACATAAGTCCCACTTCATCTGACCAGAACTCCAGCAACAAGAACTCAAACTCCCAGAATCCCACTGGGCTAAAGATGATGAAAGCACGGCTGAAGGGCGTTATTGAAGAGCCACCCATACATCCAGGATTAGCCAATCTGGAGAAAGCATACCTGATTCCGTACCTGCCCACCTGGCCTGAGCCAGACCCACCAAGTGACGTGATTGGCTTTATCAACATCAGGGATGATAAGCGGGCCAATCAGGTTCACTTGCAGAGGTCGGAGAGGTTTGAGGTTAGTCAGGCTATACGCTTCAGCTCACCATTTTCACAGCCAGCACAGACTGAGCAGCCTGCTTCACATCCTGCAAAAGCTGCAGGATCAGCTGACACCCCCTCTGCAAATACAAGCCTGAAGCCTTCGACTCCTGTGAGTCCAACTAACAAACAGCTCCCATCCCCCGCAGCTCCCAACACAGACCAAACTGATTCCCCTAAACAGCCCAACACACCCCCAGCACAGGATGCACACACACCAGCTGCACAGACTTCCACTTCACCACCTAGTGTTACTGCTGATTCACAGCCAACAGAAAATGCTGCAGAACCTCCACAGACACAACCTGTAGCACCTCCTGTTCCTAAACGCCGCACCCTGCAGCTGCTCATAGAACCTGCCTCCTCAGAGAAACCTGGTGAAGCGCAGGTCACTCTGGTAAAAATGGACCAGCTGGAGAGTCTAGAAGGCTCATTTAAGAAAAAGAGACCCCAGAAAGAGGTGACCCTGATACGTGGCCGCTTAACGTCAAAGGACAATGACCAGGACTCTGGGAGCAACGATAATGACAGCCAAGACAGCACCAAGGTCAACTGTGACCGAGCGGTCAATGACGAACCCTCGAGTAACTCCACAGCATCGGATGAGGAGTTTTACGATTGCACGCAGCCAGAGCCCAATAACCAGCTAACCAATGGAGTGACAACAGGGTCCGGCCGAGGACAACGCCAAGGAGACGGTTTCAACATGATGGCCCGCTTCTCACAGAGCATGCTGGACTTGCGAGAGCCCAACCAATCAGAGGACAGTGCTGCTCTCATCTGCCAATCACAGCAGCTGCGCAGACAGGAGCACCTCTCCCCACACAGGCACATAGGACAGGTGAGCACTCGGTATTACTGCTCGAGTGATGCTAAAATAATCAAAAAATGGGAAATCACACACACACATCCATACAGCACTTTATCAATGCATACACACACACACACACACACACACACACACACACACACACACACACACACACAGACAGAAGGATGCATTAGAGGTCATTTGGGGTTCACTATCTTGCCCAAGAATGCATACAAGCATGAGGAGTCAGGGATCGAGTCGCTGACCTTCTGACCCTCTCTTTCACCCGAACCATGCATCAGTATATATAAAAAAAAGTTCTATTTGTTCATGATTACCAAGTAGTATGAAGCTTTAGTGAGTTTGTAATAGAAGGTTCATTACTCATTTTCATAGTGTCAAGTCACATTTTGTCAGATGTACACACAAGGTGTTGTTGCTGGACTCACTTCACATTCGTCACATATGAAAGCTCAGGAAGAACCTCTCGAAGTCACAGTTTAAAACCTCAGTTACCCTGTGGTGTAGTCTTTCAGAGAGGAGTGTATTTTGACTCAAACTTTTATTTTTTTAAATCTCATTTTTTAAGTAGATCTTAGTGCCAAAAGAAAACCAAACAGCCAATGAAAACAAAACTAAGCCGTGAGTGAAACAGGACGTGCACTTCTCTCCTCTCCGGTCTTGTGATTTACTCTGTTGCCAACCCGCACGCCTGTTTAGGCACGGTTTAAAGCAAGCAATACAAACTGCTTTGTGACAGATATCCATATAATGTTTATAGCTTCACTTTTCAATATTTATTACCACTTAAAATGAAGCCTTATAAACATAATTTACCACTTTACAATAAACATGAATTATTATCTTTTCATTTTTTAACAGTAAGTAAATGTATTTGTGTTTCTATAAAGTGTTGCCAAGAGTTTAAGTGACATTTTTAAGCTTTTTAAAAACAAGAACACACTGTTTTACTGCATAATCTATATTGAATATCTTCTTTTACAAAGATGTCAGTGTCAGGCTATATTGATGAGTCGCGTAATCATTCAATTAAAAAAAGAAAAAGAAAAGACAAAACAGCTTAATCCATTAGGGAAGTTTCTGCCCTAGATGACACAATGCTTAATCTTTTAAACGTTTTTAATGCGTAATGAGTAATCACTGACAAAACCACTGCTGAAATTCCCAGAAATTGTGATTGCTGTCCAAAAGTATGCAGCACTTACTGGAAAAGCACACATTTATGTAACCCACGTCAAAATAGGTGTGTCTCATCAGTGGTACCAAAAGCAAGTCCCTACCTGCTTGCGGTACATGCTTACATGACATATTTTTCCCCTCCAATTTAAAAGGTATTTGCGTGTCTGTGCGCATGAGCGACTGAGCACCCACGCTCGTGTACACTCACCGGGGTAGAGAGCTCGACTGATCATGCCAGGGAGGACGATGAAGATAAAGGGCAACATCTTTAGATAGGCGGCAAAGATGGAGGCTCCTTTCACATGACTCATGTTCTTAGCAGATAGGGACCTTTGTACGATAACCTAAACACACAGAAAGGTGCTTAAAAATATTTCCATAAGACATAATCAGGTAACATATGGTGTAATAAGATATAAATGAATATAATAAATAGTAACATTTCCTGTTAACAGTAGAGAAAAACATGGATAATGAATAGCAGTGGCTCCAGAATTGACCCCTGAGGTACTCCTTAGAGAATAATGGAGGATTTAGAGTTTTAATTCCCTCTCTGTGCTCTTTCTGCTTAGTTGTTTCAGACCTCTAGATCTCCGGGTCGTGATGCAAGAGCGAGAGGACCAACAGTAGTTATCGCCAAACCAGGAAGTTATCATCGGCCCACCCGAGCAGCTGGCCCAGTGATAGGAGGTTACCGCTACTGGCAGGGCCAAATGCTCCAGCCTGACTCGGCCCAGCTGCGCGTAGAGACCCGCTCCGGGCGGTCACCGAGACGACACAGTCCCGGCTACAAGAAGGAAGCCCACACGTCACCACAGCCACCAGCCAACCAGACGGGATTACTTGGAGTTTCTTTCTCAAAAATTAACACTTTTAAACACTTAAGAGCACGAGGAGGAGCACCGCAGAAGAAAGCACCTCAGAATAATAAGCCTGTCAGGTAGATCTGTGGGCCGGTCAGGGAACGTGAGGACATTAATGCTTCATTGTGGGATGTGTTGTTTTTTTGTTTTGTTTTTAATCCTCTTTTTGTTTGGAAACTGCGACGCAAAGCTTACAAGATCTGCTTTACTCTGATATCTCTGGGTGGTTTCAAATGAGTGACTGACCAAAAAGAAAGTTTGCTGACGTGTTTGTGCGGAAATAAACTCTGATAATAACATATCAGGTGTTTGTGTTTACAACATGCAAAACAAGATAGCATGCACTCTTGCAACTGATTTATGAGTGATCTGTTTTTTTTTTAAGATATGGTACTGTGTTTGGTCAGCTGTGATTCTCTTCAGCCAACCCATGTCACGCACCGTGCAGTGTATCTGTGACATGCAGGCTCTAGGCTCTAGTGTTGATATCATGGGGACTGGTTGCTGATGGTGAGAGGGTGTTGCTTTGAAATCACTGGCAGACTTCCCTGATTACCTTTGCAGATGTATGAACATGTGTGAAAAACATGGGACCAGAAGTTGTAATGTTGTAAATAAAAAGACAGTTAAATTTGTCCCATTGTTTTGTTTCAACTAGCTCACATAAAGCATTAGTTCATTTAAAAATGCCACTGTATTGTACAAACATCTTAATATTTGAAGGAAGCATATCATTACTAAAAATGAAAGATATTATCTCAAGCATACAGCGCCTGACAACCCAGACAGCTGATCAGGAAATATTCCAGGGTAAATGACTGTGAATGAACACTCTGAGGTATTTTTAGGTATGTTTGCTTTTGCTTCCTGGTTTGCAGAAAAATATAATTGTAGCTTCTTGCTTTCTGAAGGGATTTTTGTAGCCTGGAGCTGAGGTTTGGCTTGCAATCAGCATCTGGGCAACACGGCAGAGCCCAGCCTTTATTCTTTTTGCAGAGGTTTGAGGATGCAGTGACACTAGCGGAACAAAGTCTAGTTTCCAAAGTGCCGCATAAGAAACTGGGAGTGTTGTGGCTCATAAAGAGATCAAATTAATATTGACCAGAATGGAATTCAGCTTCTTGGAGTGGCTCTCCAAACATAGTCCAGTTTCAAAGTCCTCCATGACCCACAGTTAAAGCAGATAAACACGTTCTCAGATTTCTTTAAAAAACTAGTATTATAAGTATTCAGACCCTGTGCTATGGCAGACCAAACTGTCATCAGAAACATCCTTTCCAATGTGTGTAGACCTTGATAATTTAGTTATTCAGCAGAAACGTGGAGGTCATGGCAGTGCGTTGAAACAAAACTTGCAGTCTCCACTGCTCAGCGCCTGTCTAATGCTTTTCTTATGGTGAAGTGCGGGAACAGTGAAGCATGACAGCAGCATCCTAGTATAGACGTGCTTTTCAGTGCCTCAATCTTGAGATTAGTCAGCGTGCTAGAAAGGATAAATAGAGCCAAACACACTGAGGTTTGTAAAAGAAATGTGCTTCAGAATGCAGATCTTTGAGCACAACTGGGAAACAGCATGAAGTGACTTCATGACAAGTGTTTGACAGCCCCGCCAAGACTAAAAAGACAACAAAAAGAATGTAAAATTCCTCAGCAAACACGACAATGGCATTTCACAAATGCTTCTTTGTGGAACTCACAAGGGATCTATGAGGAACAAAAACACCTGCCTGAATAATGTCAGTCAACACAAAAAGGTGAAAAAAAAATTCTTAAAAAAAGCAATAATTCTGTACTCAGAAGATACAAATAAAGTATCAATCTGATACCAATACCAGTATATAGATCGATCCTCACACCTTGAGTATTTGAATTTCGTCCTTCCAGACTTACCTGGTCGGTACACCAGTACCATGTGGCCAGTATGGTGAGCCCCAGAGTCATCCCGGGCCAGGGAAGGTCTCCGGTGACGGCGTCTCTGAACAGGTGCATGGCGTCCTGCCGTGGCAGGTGGCAGGTACTGTTGGGAATAATTTTACTTGGTATCGCTCTGCTGTACCGCTCGGCCAGCTGGCTGTAGCCACCAATCTTATTGAAAGCTGTGGATGCACATTTATTGCTGCTGTTGAACAATTATTGATTGATATTGATTCTGCAAATTGGCCCTGCAATACTTTGTGTTTATGAAACAGCACATACCAGTAACTGTTAGGATAATTGCACCAACGAGCATGATAAACGTCTGGAGGGTGTCTGTGTAAATGACAGCAGCGAGACCACCTGAAAAACAGAGATTTTATTTGCGCAAAGAAACAAACAAGTGCCGAGTCTTACGTTCCAAAATATGCAATATGTTTGTCTCTGGGATTTCTGTTTGCATAATAAAATATTAGAATTAACGTTCATCAGAATTGTTGAAATTCTTTAAAAGAGCAAAAAAACGCGAATTGTAATGCACTTTCATATCTACCTGCAATGGTGTAGAGCGCAGTGACCACCAGCATGAGGACGGTAGACAGGTACAGGTTCCACCCAAGACACACCTGAACAAACAAGGCTCCAGAGTACAGGTCAGTCTGGTGAGAGAAACATGCCAGTCAGCGATGTTGGCAAACAAATGAACTCACATCTGAGACACTTGTACAGTCAGATGGGGTTGTATGTAGGTGTGTTTGTGCCACATAGTCATACTGAAATCTTTGTGAAGATGGACAACATCAGCGAGAGGACAGCCAGGTAGGTTCTGATCCTCTCTCCTCCAAAGCGACGTCCCAGATACTCTGGCATGGTCACGATCTGGACACAAGACAGTTCAACATCTTCAGCGTGCCACAGCTACACGGAGGAGGCATACTTTAAGAGACAATTTATCCCAAAAGCTACAAAATCTATATATTTTTCTTCATGGCCTGATAGTCTCATATTGCCATTTTGATTATTTTTCAGTGATAATGCAATATCAGTCTGTAGAAGAAAGTGTGAGCTGTCTGGGAGAAAACATTTGTGCATGTGACAGGAAGTAAACACTACTGATGTTTGCTCTCAGCTGCGAGCTTCCCTTTTCTGTGAAATTGCATCACAAGATGTGCGGGGGGGAAAAAACCCTAAGTGACTTGTACAAAAAAAGGACGGGTAGATCAATAAGGTCAAAGTCTATTTATACCACTGACCACACACAGATCACTTTGATCTGCAGTGGGTCTGACCAGTGAAACTGTGATAAATGTGCAAATTACAGAAAAGGTGCTGGTAGTTCATTGGCCAGACTGTAATTATAAAAATGCATATACTGTCTTTTTTTAACTACTGCAGAAACAGACATTTCTGTGGAAGGTTGTGGGATCAGTAGGAAAAGTTGTAAAACTTATGAGAACACAGCTCACAGGTCAAAATCTATGCACGCCATAACATTTTCCAAAGCTGTCCAGTGGGCCATCTTTCCCGACCGGTTCTGGTCCCTGTACCTTATGTTTGACACCCCTGATGTGGCTGGATAAATAACCCAAAGGGGAGGAAAAAAATGCGAGTTATGTCCAGTGACCTATTTCCTTAAGAAAACTCTGGATGGATTCAAGATACCGACTATGAAGAAGTTTAGTACGTTCACAACTGTATTTATGACTTTATTTTTTTAAATATATGTGCCAACAAACAATAAAATGAGTACTAAGATGTGTGTGTGTGAGTGCTGTGCAGTAACACCCTTCTGGGGAATTTACAAGGCGGGGGAATCCTTGTTGGGGAAAAGCCTCCTGGCACCAAAATGTACCTGCAGAACCAGCCTGAACAAGCAGATGGGTACCTGTGTGAGTGTGTGTGCATGTGTGTGTTTGTGTGTGCCGACCAACCCCTGAGGAGATGTAGACAGGCACAAATACCCAGGCTAGAGCCAGCAACACATAGGTGGCCTGGGGAGAAGGGGTCAGATAGAAAACAGAGGGGTTTAATGAGAAATCCGCCAGAGTCAGCTCACAGGTCTCTTTATTTAAGACGCATGCTCTGCGTCCACATAGGACAGCTATGCTGCTGCTGCCCCCTGCTGTAAGCTGCCTGTTACAGCTGAAGAGAGGAAGACATTGAAATGACAAACTTTTGTGGTCTAGACAGCCATGTTCATATTAGGTAAACTTTCTGTTGTAAAGCAGGTAATTGCAACTGATGTTATTTTTATTTAGCTGCAAATGTCATATGCCCCCCCCCCCCCCTCCTTTTGTCTAGTCAGCACACCACAAAAGAGAGAAGTTGTTGAAGGATTAGCAGGCTTGTTCTGCTTCATTCCATGCCACAATGCATTTAATCACCATTAACAGATACAACAAAACAGCATCTCGTATTGTTTTGATGAGCACGCATGTTTCTCTGACTGCGGTTTTGTGTTTCTCACATTCCATTCAAAGCCGGTGACAGCGATGCCTCCGGCAGCTCCCGTCCCCGCCAGACCGATGAACAGACCCGAGCCCTCTGAACTGGCAAAGAGAGACGATCCAATCTGTGCAAGACAGAAGAAAAGGTCTGGAGGTTTTACTGCAGAAATACTCTGCTGCAAACACCTGACCTACATGCAGAGTTTGTGGACTTGATGCTTGTGCTCAAAATGATGGAAAATCTTCTCAGAGGGTTCAAAACTTTTCTTTTTTTAAACCTGCAACTGTAGCATTTGTCTTCCTTCATTTCTCATGTAGCCTCATTAACGTCAGTGTTTATCATCACATTGTTATTTACTTAATGAGAAACAGTTTCCGTTAAGCATAAGTCTACCAAGTCTCTCTTAAGTTCAGAACCCAGCTTGGCCTTACAGTTTTAGCTGTAAGGGGTGGCTGAATTTTAGTAAAACAAGGAGAATTGATTTCTACATTTTTCTATCCCCCCACCCCCACACACAAAAAATCCACCCTTTTAAGTGCCTGTAAGAACCATACAATTGTTTACTGATGCTTGATTCACAGAACAAATCTACCCAGAAAGTTGTGTATCTCCTAAAGTCAGTGTAGCCTACATCTATCACTTTTACCATCTGTGAAAACTAAAATCAACTTATTGCAGGTCACGCTTTATTTCCACAGTTAATGTCAGATGGACTCACCGGCCACCAGGCCATGTCCCTCCCAGCCAAGAAATATCCACTCAGTGTGTTTCTGCTCACCCTGCATGAGGACTGACACACAAACTGATTTGCACAAACATCCAAAACGAGCTGAATTAGTAGAACGGCACAAATTCATTCACGCCTCTCGATTCTTACCCAGATGCCAACAGCGAGGTTGAGAAGAAAGTAGGTCGCAATGACAATGATGTCTGAGAAGCTGAAAGACTGCGACAGGGCGTAGAAGCTGATGGTGGAGTTAGACATCCTGAGCGTTCGCGGCACTGTCGAAAGGTTCCCTGTGGCCACACACACCTGTCCGCCTCTGCGATTAGATTCTCATCTGACGCTGGAACTTTGCAAACACCATAAACTCGAGAAGAAGATGATACACACCCTAAAAATCTGCAAATCCTTGCCTTTAAATGCTCACTTCCCATCCAATGCACTCACGCTGTCAAACACACACACCTGGCCCTCGCCTGCGAGCTGACTGGTCTGCTACCAAAACATCTCGAGGCACACTGTTACATCTGAGTGTGAAGAGGGCAGACCAGTGGCTGAACTGATGATTAAACACATCACCTTAATGTGGCACCTGAAGTGCTGACACACACACTCTGCTAGGGGATAATGGAGTGCACAGTGTGTGCGAGCAGGGAAGTACTGATGTAAATCAGAGTCCACGGTGACACACACACACACACACACAGATGGTCAATCATTGCCGATGACAAGTTTATAATCATTAGCGTCTAAACACACAAAAATCTGTTCTGGGAAGTGCTAAGCAGGGTCAGTGGAAGTGTGTGAGAACGTGTCTGAGCTGTTTATGGTTTCATCCTGATATCTTCAGGAGGTGATACAGTAAATAAGACCCCATAGAGGCCTTTCTTTACAAAAGAAGATGCTGGAAATGCTGGAAAAGTGCCACAAATGGATAATAAATATAGTGTATTCTTCTTACAGCAGCTATTCTGATGAATAGTAGTAGTTTAGTTCATTCTGTCTGTAGTATAGTTCACACACCTGGATGCTTTCATATCAGACCCCTAATTAATGCTTACCTGTTACTTCATGGCAAATTTGCTGCTGTAAAATCTGCCTGTGCTACAGTCTGTAAAAACTCATTCACACAAACATTTTTTTAATGTGTGTAAAATTTGTATTTCCCTTTTTACATAAATTATTTTGAGTATGAGATCTTAACAAAAGGATAAAATGAAGAAAAAAAAGGATTTGCCTCATTGTGCAGGTCATGAGATTGTAAAAATGTATTTAGGCTTAAATTTTAAGTGGCACCAGTTTAGCTAACAGTGTGAGCAGGAAACCATATGTCACTAAAGGCTGAATGCAGCGGCCCGGATTTGACTTTGACCTGCAGCCCTCTGCTGTATGTCCTCGCCATTCTGTCTCTTCCTGTATGCTCTCCACTGTGCTGTCATTTATTTATTTATACTGGGTACATAAATGCAGACATCGGGTGGTTATAGCTCAGGAGGTAGAGCAGGTCGAGTCTGCACGCCAAATATCCGGGGGCAAGATGCTGAAATAGGTCATCGCACATGAGAATATGAACGTGTGAGAAAACCCTTAGGTAGACAACAAAGTGCTTGTACGAACCAGGAAAGTTGTATAAAGTGCTTTGATTGCTCAGGTAGACTTTTCAGGTAGAGTATAAATGCACTATATGGGGTGGCTGTGGCTACAATGTAGCTTACCATCACCAGTGTGTGAATGTGTGTGTGAATGGGTGGATGACTGGATATGTAAAGCGCTTTGGGGTCCTTAGGGACTAGTAAAGCGCTATATAAATACAGGCCATTTACCATTTACCATTTATATGAGTATCATTTGCCATTCATATCTGAACAGTAGCACATATTTTATAATCTTGCCTCTGTACACCACCACAGCGGATTTTAGATTAGTCGATCGAGATGTGCCTGAAGTTTAGGAATTACAGGTGTTTTTAATTCACAGTCCCCATTTTCAGAGGCTGAAACTTAATGGGACAATTGACTGAGAAACAGCTTAATGGCCAGGTGAAATCTGATCTTTTGCTAATTCATGATACATTAAGTATATAGAAAGAGTTGATACAAAAAGCAGAACTTGCATTTGGTAGCTGTTTACTGGAATTCTTGATGTGAGGTCCAGAGAGACGTTGATGCAAGTGAAGCAGGCCATCGTTAGGTTTAAAATCCAAAATGAACCAAACGAAAAAGAGATGACAAAAACTTTACAAGTGACCAAATCAACTATCTGGTTCATTTTCAAAAAGAAGGAATGCAGCGGTCAGCTCTGCAGCACCAAGAACGCCCGAAAGACCACAGAAGACAACTAAATTATGATGAATGATGTGGAAAGACAAAGAGCGTGTGAAATAAAATAGATCTGGAGGTATGATAAGTGAAGGAAACAGTTTATGGTGAGACTTCATCCAAGAATGAAAAACAATCAAATTATCAGTCAAATTGTGTTAGTCTGTACATCTTTGATTAACTACATAAACTCTACTGAGGTGGTTTAGAGAAAATATGTTTAATTTTCAAAAATCATACGGACCTGACTGCAGTTTTTAAAAGCTCTATTTTTTCTCAAATACATGTATTTTTCAATTTTAGTGTTTATTTTTCTCTACCTTTCTTTCATCAGTCATCATCAGTTTGGATATTTCATCCGTATAAAGCCAGTGCTGTATGAAGAGTTCTGACCTTTACTGTTTCACACACTTGTTTGTAGCTATGCTTTCTGACATGTTTGCTTTTGCTGGCCTCACAGTGAAAAAGCCTTTTGTCTGAGCACACCTGTACATTTTTCATCGGTGACAGCATGAAAGGATGGAGAAGTCCAAGAGTGGGTGTCAGGGAGAGTTTATCGGTCTTGCTTTTGTGCTCCCTGATGTGAAATTAACTCAGTGTCACACACAAGCCGCTGGCCGGTGTTTGTCCGCTATAAGGAGCAGATGGCGATGATGGAGACGGCCTGACGTCACGCACACCATCATCATTAATCTCTCTCTCACACAGAGCCACACAAAACCCCACTCTCACACTCGCAAAACACACAGCAACAGGTAACAGAAAGCCCACCAGTCACGTTTTAAGAAAATATCACTTAATTAAGTTTCCACTTGATGTAAATTTGTTTGCAGTTTGTTTCAAGCTTTTGGTGGTAAAAAGCAGCAAACTGAGAAAACGCATAGAAAAAATATATAAGAAGATATCAGAAGGTCTATTATTTGTAATATTCACACATGTGGATGTTATAACTTGTGTTTCATGAGTTTTAACAGTGCAGTGCATTGTTTACAGTGGAAATATGACCTTATAAAATTAAAAAGAACTTATTAATATACAATATTACCATGTGCAACATCATATGTGGTATTGGTAAAAGCGATAAGAATAACTGGTGTGCATAGAGGTCTGTGTGTGTGAATGGGTGGATGACTGGTTGTGTAAAGCGCTTTGGGGTCCTTAGGGACTAGTAAAGCTCTATATAAATACAGGCCATTTACCATTTACCATTAATAATATAGTAATGAATAAAGAAAATCTTCTCTAGGGCTGGGAGATAGACTTTGATGTCAACACTAGTGCATTTTATTGGAATACTTGCAAGTTTGACTGCATTTTAACTAAATATGTGCAGAGTTAGTTGATGTTAATTCAAGAGAAAACCTTCCAAATTAATCCAAATTAAAATGTCAAAGAAGCAACTTCAAAGGTATATGCGCAAAAAATATTATCTGAATCGGGCAGGAAATGAACACATCCGAGCTATGTCACTAAAGAGAAGTGACAGCGCCACCCTCTGGTCAAACAAGCAGAAACAAGGTTTATCTATTTGAAATTGAAACGATTCTGCTTTAAGGGAGACAGCTTGGCACACATTTAGTCGCACTGTTACAGGGAAATGTCGGCATTTTTTTCAGATATTCAGATCATTTAGCTAAGTAGTGTATGACGGGAAATAGGAAAGAACTGCGATAGCCAATCAGGAGTGAGGGCAACGGACTTACCCGGATGTAATACTTCATAACAAAAAATTTGCCGGGAACACGACTGTGCCAAAGCTACTGTCGAAGCTGAGAAAGAAGCTATCGGGGGAAATATATTTTTCCTGATTATTTAGCCGCCGTGTCTCGGGTTTTATCGGACCAGGCAAAATGGACGAATACGATGAACTGTTCGAGGTACACGACGACTTCGAGGAGCAGTTTGCCGACGAGCTGGAGGTGCTGGCTGAGATGGAGGGTGAGTCCAAAACACTCAAGTTACCAAAAGGGTAGCTAGCCTATGATTCAACTGTTAAATCGCCGAGCTACTTCTCGGAAACCGTCGTAGAAAAGTGGAGTTTTTGTTTAGGAGTAGACTTAATTTAGGGCTGCTTTGCTTTTGAACAGTGCGGCTCTTGAGGTGCGTTTAAATGGCTTTCAGGATCTTTGGGAAAGCTGTGTCAGTGAGTTCGGATCGAGCAAAACGCAACAAAAACAGACTCCGGGTAGAATAAAAAGAAATAGAAGTGCATACATTCAAGCTACAACATAATAGCACAAGATAAAGAAAAATAATAAATATAATGAAAATAGAGTTTGAGATATCTGTACAGGTGCAATAAAAAGTAGAGTTTGCAAATAAGACTTAGAGGCAGTGATTATACACTCACCCGTATATGTAGATATGTGAACGCACACATCTAGATATGTGTAGCTGTGACTTTATAAAAGTAAAAAATAGGTTATTAATATACAGTATATGTGTAGATATGTGAACACACATATCTAACCAGCTAGTCACGTCGTATCAATTGAATGCATTTAGGCATGTAAACACGGTCATGTATTCCAGAAACTGCTGATCTACTGGGGATTTCCTGCACAGCCATATTCAGGGTTTACAGAGAATGGCCCAAAAAGAGAAAATACCCAGTGGCAGTTTTCTCTGTGCCTTTTTGATGCCAGAGGTCAGAGGAGAAGGGGCCGACTGCTCTGAGCTGATAGGGAGATAAGTTGTTATTTGTATTATTGTTATTACAACAAGGTATGCAGAAGAGAATCTCTGCAGATCTGCATCAAACCTCGATGCAGATGTGCTACAGCAGACTTCACTTCTGTGAACTAATAACTAATAATAATAATTGTCCAAGCATTTCACTACATATCGTACTGTGTACGACTGTGTACGACTGTGTACGTGACAAATAAAAATTTGAACTAATAACGGGAAAATGAGGCTGCACTTCACACGGGCTCATCATAACTGGAGAGTAGAAGACTGGAAAAATGTTCTCTGCTGTGACTTCAGTTGCTGTGTTCAAATTATAGGGCCAGACTTTACTCATAAACATAGACAAACATAGATCCATCCATGATTAAGGCTGGTGAATGTGAAATGTAGTGTGATATATTTTCTTGGCATACTTCTGAGTATAATTTAAACACCACAGAGAATCTGAGTGTTGTTGCTGACCATGTCCATCCCTTTATGACTATGGTATGCGCATCATCTGATGTCTGCTCCTGGCAAGATAACACAATTACCACAAAAGCACAGATGCTCTCAAACCGGTTTCTTGAACATGACAGCGAGTTCTCTGCATTCGAATGGCCTCTCTGCAATCCATTAGCTTGTGGTGGAACACAAGATTCTCATCATCGATCTACAGCTGACAAATCTGCAGCAACTGCGATGCTTTCATGTCAATATGGACCAAAATCTCTAAGGAATGTTTCCATCACTTTGTTGAAGCTATGCTATGAAAAACGAAGGGAAAAAGGGGCCTGAATGCTCTTTTTCTTATGCATTTTGGTCATTTCAGCCAGACCAGTGACTCCCCAGCACAGCCTTGGCCTTCCCAGTCAGCCTATTCAGTTTCTTGGTGTCACAGTTTCAGATGCTCCTACACCAGCAGATAACTGCAGAGGAAACCGGACTAGCAACACCAGATAAATCAAGTGAAGTTAACATTATCATCATCCAGCAAAACTAATTCGGACCCCTCTGACACCTCACTGATGGTGCTGTTCTGTTCAGGACTATACATCCAAGAAAATGCTGACTTTTGTCTCTGTTTGGTTTATTATTCCCTCAATGGGTGTGTGAACTCCATGATTATACATACTATGTGGTATTTGAATAAGACTTATAACTAAATTCTTTGTTTAGTCCTTTGTCTATTCTGATGAAACAGGCTCCACACATCAGAAGATGTATGTAATCTGCTCCATTATTATCCCTAATAATTCCCCATATTAATGAGAAGAGTTTAAAGTAATCATTTACCACACAGTGGTACAGTTGTTCGTGATTCTGACATCATTAATTCATACTTATTCATAGCTATATACAATACCTAACCCTTTGTCAAACTGTATTATTTGTATGTATTGTTACGTTTATAAACCAGAGTAGAATATAAAATAAATTCTGAAATGCGATAACACGAGAACTGGTTGACAAAGTCCAAAGACATGCAGTTTGGTTCATTTTAAATTGTACATGTGAGTGCTCTCTGTCTCCAACCCCCGTGACCCCATAAAGACGGACTGCTCAGCTGGCTGTTTGTGGCTATATAAACATGCTGGGAACAGGGAAGTTGCAGAGCGCCCTCTGAGGACAGACTTTGCAACTTCAGCACCTATAACATGGTTGAAGGGTGTTTCTACCACTTCTTCATCCTCTTCATTTGTCAGCTGATCAGCAAACAGCCATACTGGTCTGATAGCAAATCGGTCAGGCTCAGGAGGATGGTGGTGATAAAGTTAAGATAGATAAAGTTAGGGTTAAGTCTCCAGGAAGTAATTAATGTATGATTTTATGTGTGCTTTAACATCGTAGACGAAACTTGCAAGCCGGGGAAACGCCACAGTCAGGGTCCAGGAGACGACATCTCGGATATAGAGCACCTGCTGGACAATCAGCCCATCAGTGAGTTCACCCTCGGGGTGCACCTGTATTTTTACACCTGTCTAATTTGCAGCTTTAATCTAAGCCTGCCTCTTCCAGCTCCAAAGGCAAAGCGACAGAAGCAGGACGTTGGTGTGGTCAAGCGACTGTTCAACGCAGCACAAGTTCAAGAGAGCAAAGTCCCTTCACTGAGTGATGACATCACACCGCCATCCTCTCCAGAGCACTATGAGCCCTCTCACGCCATCAGGTAGTTTTTTTTTAAATGATTTGTTTAGCATCATTGAATTTGACCTGTTTTACTCAGAGACACCTTCAATGTGTTTTATTTATTTATGTTTTATTTTTACCTTGATTTTTACTTATTGAGCTCATTTGCTTTGTTATATTGTGGCGATTTTATTGAACTATTGTATTGAGATCAATAATAGACATGTATTATATTAACATTCATCTGCATCTCTTTCAATTGATACCGGAGCAAAAAGATGTTCCTAAAAATCCCAAACATTTCTAGCGGAAATACATTTTAATGCAGAAACTCACACACAAGTAAGATGCACTTAAAAACAATACATGACAGTCATTTGAAGCAAAGTGGCGAGTATTGCTGGGGGCACAGCGGCGCACAGGTGCCTGAGGAGCAGATGTAGCTGGTGCTGAATGCAGTCGTCTTTTTTCCATCATATTTAAGCAGTTTCTGTTTTTGTCCTTGATGGGATTGTTGTACGTGGAGATGGGCATAACAATAACCTGCACGATAAAATTGTTATTTTAAAATCATACTTGTACAAAAGCGTGATTTCAGCCTTTAATATAAATCTGAGACTTCTGAACATGTTTTGTGTTCCAGCTCTACCCCTGCTGTGCTGGATATCAGCGGCTTTGCTGAGATTCCACTGACTCCACAGCGACCTCCCACAGCGGCGCCGGCATCCCTGCGTGTGCTGAAGCGACCTCCTTTAGAGGGAGACTACATCAGTGTGACGGACTCGTCTGGGAATCGGGTCTACCTCCGACAGAAAGAGAACGCAGAGACAAAGGTTAAATGCCCCCCGGTTATTTATCCGTGAGGCTGAATTTCGCACAGGCAGCATGTGCAGCAGCTGCAGCTTCCAGAGTTTGGTTAATATTTCTATTTCTCTCTACATTTCCATGTGTCTCTTCAGACAGCAGACTCCAGAATAGTACCAAACTCCCAGGGTGGACTGGGGCTGCTGGCAGTGCCGATAGGACTGCTGAGAGAGCAAGAAGCAGACAGGGTGAGTGACTCATTACCTTCCCTGCACCCAGTGTTAAAAAATGCATCTACCAAGAATATTTTTTATCCACTAAAATTGTGTTCATTTAAAAAAAAGTGGATTTATATTGAAATCTATTAATAGAATTAATATTGACCTCAAAGATGACCTTAGATGTGCTTAAAGTATAAACTTAAAAGCAAATTAAGAAATCTCATCATCACGCTACTTACAGAGACCACGAAGTCCCGACCCTAACTCTGATTGGCTAGTGTTCTGTGTTAATCTAATGGCTAAATGCTAATAAGAAGATGAAGAAACCCAAGAAATAATCTTCACATATTCAGTTGTCGCAGCATCAGCTTTCCTCAAAGCTCAAAGAAGCATGAATGAAGAACACAAAGTGCAGCTTCAGTGGACAGCTTTCATGCTTTTTAACGCTCTGCTTCACTTTGTCATCGTTAACTTTTTAATTCTGCACAACAGGGGCTAAGTTGAAGGACTGGGAGATATAGAAGAGTAGCTTACTTAGCAGTTTTTCTACATGTACAGCTCTCATAGCTACAGCACGTAGTAGAGGGACTTTTCATCTGCTCGTCTCGTTATGGAAGATCTAAGAATAAGAGCGTTTAGATTTCCAGTGTGACAAAAGCCTATAAATATAATTCATTTGAAAATGTGTGATATAATGTAGGCGCTCTAGCCCTTACATTAATAGCAGAACATACAATTATTGTAAACTCACATCAATGTCTCGTGTTCCTTTGAAATCTTGCAGCGCCACCAACAGGTTGTGGAGGAATCGCAGCGTCTTACAGAGCTGTTAGCCAGGTAACTCACTTCCTGTTTCACTCACAGACATCAACACACTCATGTGGGGCTCAAAAGAGGACACAGACTGGGCTGGTTGTAAAATAACAAAAACAGAAAACATCAGCTGAGACTGATAAGATGGCGTGAGTGGTGGAGTGGTTAGCGGTGTCGCCTCACAGCAAGTTCTTGGTTTACATCCCACCTGATGTCCCTGAGTGGGTTTCCTCAGCCTTTCTCCCACAGTCCAAACACAAGCACGTTATGTAGTTTGTGATTCTATATGGGTCGTGTGATATGGGGTAGATGGAGTGGTTGAAGTGCACAGAATAAGTGCTGTGTGATCCATCCATCCATTATCTGCCGCTTATCCGGGGCACGGGAGTATCAGTCTCAGAGGGGAAAATTAGACCTTCCTCTCCCCAGCCACCTCTTCCAGCTCGCCTGGGGGGAAACCAAGAGACATCATTTCTCCAGCCTGTCCTGGCTCTGGCCCGAGGTCTTCCCTCAGTCTGATATACCCAAACCACATCAACAGGCTCCTTTTGATGCGGAGGAGTAACCACTCTGCTTTGACCTGTACAACTGAACTCCTCACCCCATCTCTAAGGGAGCATCAAGCCACCTGTTGGAAGAAGCTCATTTCCCTCTAATATCCACAATCTCATTCGTTTGAGACACATCAAGACTGAGTTTACATACACGAGCAGGAGTTTTAACTGCGTTTTTGTGTTTATGTCACATTCCAGCAGTGTAAACGACGCGTTAGTTGAGTCTGAAAACCCAGAAGATGAAGAAAACGAGGATCCAGAGGACACAGAGGGCCGAGCATCTCGGCTGTGGGTGGACAGATTTTCACCGCGTCACTACACAGAGCTGCTCAGCGACGATGTAAGTGATGTGCAGTGTTTCTGTGTGACTTTAAGGAGGAAGGCTTATTCTAAAGTCTTTGTGGAGGCGGCTTGTTGATGTGGCGCGTCTTGTGTCGTTCAGTTCACCAACCGTTGTCTGCTCAAGTGGCTGAAGCTGTGGGACACCGTAGTGTTTGGAAGAGAGAGGAAGTCCCGCCCTGCCCGATCCGACAGACAGGCTGCCAATCAGAACGCATTTAAACCCAATCAAGGAAATCAGAATCAAAATCGCTTCAAGAGCAAGATTGAGGTGACCGAGGAGCTGCTGGAGGCAGAACTGGACCAGTACAAACGACCCAAATTTAAGGTCTAAAAGCTGCACATCTGTCACATCTGTTTGCATTTGATTACCTGGCTTTTACACACGGTGTGATTTATTTTGGCCTCTCTCCAGGTGGCGTTGCTATCCGGTCCTCCAGGTTTGGGGAAGACCACCCTGGCTCATGTCATTGCAAAGCATGCTGGGTACAACGTGGTTGAAATCAATGCCAGGTTAGTCACAATAATAATAAGTGAGCAGATAGTGGCAGTAAGTCATGGAGATGGCAGGTTTACTGTCATCCTCCTCCTTCACAGCCTCACTTGGCGTTGTTGATGTTTGTGCAGTGACGATCGCAGCGCCGAGGTGTTCCAGAAACGCATCGACACAGCGACACAGATGAAGTCCGTTTTGGGAGCCAATGAGAGGCCGAACTGCCTCATTATCGATGAGATTGACGGAGCACCTGCGGTACACTCCTGCTTTAAATTGGTAAAGAGCAGCTAATTGACCGCAGCCGTTCTTAATGCCTTGCCCTTTGATGTGCTCCGCAGGCCGCCATCAACATACTGCTGGCAGTTCTGAACAGGAAAGACGGACACGGGGGTGAGGCTGGCGCGGAGACGGCGAAGAAGAAGAAGAAGAGGGAGTCCATCTTACTGCGACCAATCATCTGCATCTGTAACGACCTGTAAGAGAAACTGTGAATACCTGTTATTTGTTTTTACTTTATTTTTACTTCTTTATCGTTTTAAAGTCATCTGTTTCTTTTTAAGTTATGTCCCAGCTCTCCGGCCTCTCAGGCAGCAGGCTTTCCTCCTGGCTTTCCCACAGACTCAGCCTTCCCGCCTGGCACAGAGACTGGCAGAGGTCAGCATAGTCACAGATGCACGCACACATCTCGACACGCGCTGCTGATCCTTGTTTAAACGAAATCGCTGTTTGCAGATCTCACTCCGCCAGGGGCTGAAGGCAGACACGGGCACCCTGATGTCACTGTGCGAGAAGACCGACAACGACATCCGGTCCTGCATCAACACGCTGCAGGTGGGTGCCGCGGCTGAGAAGGAAAGCCCGGCAGATGCACAGCCAGTGTGAAGAATTCGGTGTAAACATGTGTTTGTGCTTCTGTCCAGTTCCTTCATAGTCGTGGCGTCAAGCAGCTGGACAGCAAGACGATTCAGAGCATCTCTGTGGGGCAGAAGGACCAGAACAAAGGCTTGTTCCATCTATGGCAGGAAATCTTCCAGTTACCACGTACAAAACGGTACGGCGAGTTCCCCGAGACAGGCCAGCAGTCTGTCACATGGCTAACACAGAGAGAGAGATGACGATTCACACCTGTGGGTGTGAAAATTATGCAAATATCACTAAGTAAATAGATAAACCTTGAAGATAATCATAGCGCATATGAACTGAGCTTAGTATTAAAATGTCTTTTAAAGTCTTCAGTTGAAGCAGGTGAAAGTCGTAGGAAGCCTTGAAACGAGTCACTGTGTCTTTTCTTTTCCCTCCCTGAGCCTGATTCTGCCAGAGGTTTCTTCCTGCTAAAAGGGAGTTTTTCCTTCCCACTCTTGCCAAGTGCTTACTCACAGGCGGTCATGTGATTGCAGGGTCTCTACCTTACAATATAAAGCACCTTGAGGTGGCTGGTGTTATATAAATAAAACTGAATTTCCTGAAAAACAAACGACCGCCAGACCATCGTAAACAGTCATAAGATAATGTTAAATCTTTGGCACAAATAAAAGGTACAGCAGGTGTTTGAGGTGTGTAGAGGACCATATGTTGCAAATTACTGATAAATATTCATTATTTTCAGGAAACGTGTCGGTGAGGGGTTTGAGGACGGACCGGGTTCGGGAAGTGGAGCTCACAGGTTCCAGCACATCTTGCATCTGGCTTCGTCTAGTGGAGAATATGAAAAGGTTTCTCAGGTAATACAGGAAACTCTATGGGACCTGCTCTGCTCATTTCAAATTGCTTGTTATCTTATATCGGGCCCTCACGCCGCTCCTCAGCTCATCGATTGTCTGAAACGAGCTTCTTTAACTCTTGCACCTTTAAACCGACTCTCTTCTGATTGGTTGCTTGTCATAAACAGAAGGTTTGAAAAGCAGGTGGGTGGGGCTTCTGAGTTTTTGGCTCACAGGGATTTCTTAACTCACGCTGACCTCAATGTTTGAAACTTTAACCGTGCTTAATATGAGCAGTACAGAAAAGCTGAGGAGGAGCACTGACTCATGTGGAAGTTTCCAGAATATAAAGTAGTTCATGGTTCACTGTGTAATGTTGCATTACATCTCTTTTCCTCAGGGTCTGTATGATAATTATCTGTCCATGCGTGTGAGGGACCCAAACCTCCAGAGCGCGTGCGAGGCGCTGGATTGGCTGGCCTTCTCAGACAAGCTGAGCCACGTGATTCTGCACGGGCAGAACTTCTCTCTGATGAAATACCTGCCCTTCCTTTCCATCACATTTCACTTCCTGTTTGCCCACACGAACGTGCCCCGCATCAGCTATCCCCACAGCCAGCACGAGGTACGACTCTCCTACACACACCTGTGCAGCAGTGCGAAGGAAAAGTGATAAAAGGAGAAGAAGACGTTTTTGTTTGGGTTTTTTTTAAGGCATCATTGCTGATCAGTCACTATTGTGTCCCGTCCAGGCCTCCTCCCGGCTCCTCAGCTGCAAGAACGCTCTGTCCACCATGTTGGCCGACACCCCAGCAAGCATCAGAGCGAGGATCAGTCAGCTCAGCCTGACCCTCGATATCCTCACCTTGCTTCTCGACATCATCTGTCCCAAACTACGGCCCGTATGTAAAAGCTTACATTGTAACCTTGGTACATGCCTGTATGTTCAGCCCAAACTCCAAAACTGTGCAAAATGTGCAGAATGCAATGATGATGATGCCTTTTTTTAAAACAAATCTATGGTTTTATGGTGCAGATCTTATAAACCTAAATTTTGCACATCAAACATTAAATTTGACAAAAAGCATTGTAAATGTAGGACCTGAAATGCCAGGTTTTAGCCTCTGTGTCTGCTTAGATAGATGTGGGTGGGTCATGATATCAAAGTTTCTTATTCTTCTTTCAGGTGAATCCACAGCTGTTCAGCAGCAGAGAGAAGGAGCAGATGCGTGAGCTGATCGACACCATGCTGGCATACAATCTCTCTTACAGGCAGGACCGCACTCCAGAGGGACAGTACACCTACGTGCTGGAGCCGTGAGTACACGCACACGTACGCACACTTGGCTGGACTCCACTGTACACTGGACTCATGCAGAGCTGATGTGTGTTTGAGGGGTGTTGAAGGTCACTGCTCTTGTCCACACTGTGGTTCTCTGCATGGAGGCTTAAGAGATTAATCCCCTTAACACCTGGTGGGCGTGTGTGTGTGTGTGATGGTCGTGGTTGAAGCAGGGTAGCAAGCAGTAAAGCCTCACCGTTGGATGCAGGTGAATGGAGGAGAGGATGGAAGGAGGGGCGGGTTTAAGTTAGATAGGTTAGTAGGCAGTAAGTGACGAGGTGGCCTTTTGAAAGGTCGAGGAATGAAAGGATAAAAGAAGAAAAAGAGCATTTTTAACTTGAGAGACTTTTACTTAATGTTCACCCTCATTTTTGTGATTCTGAGGATGCCGGCGCCTGCTGCAGTTAGAATGGGATAACCAGCTTGTTACCTCAGCCATGCCGGCCCGTGTGGAGGAGCAGCGGGACGCCCAGGACGGCTCCTTTCTACAGGCTCGCTGTGACGAAGTGCTGGTCACCAGCGACTGGGGCCTGCCTCTAGTGCTGGCTCTGCTGCTGCTGCTGCTGATCTACACCTTTCTGTACCTGCCCTCTCAAGCGCACCACAACTCCACTCTCTGATATCTCACGCATAAAAGGCACAGAGTGCAGCCGTGGATCTAAACATTTAACATCACAAACAGCGGATGCGCTCAGGCAGGACAAGATTATTTGATTGGACTGCTCTCTTTTTGGCCGCAGTTGGTGATTGGTCATGTCGGACGCTGTGAGCAGGAGGAGATGTGCAGGGAAGAAGAGTGGGAAAGATGAGGAGAGGTCATTTAAAATAAACCCTAGAACTGATGTCTGCTTTCATGCAGAAGACTGTGTGTCCTTATAAATCCCTAATATGTCCTAATACGGTTAAAAATGAATTTAAAAGTAACCTGCGGCTAGATTTTAGTAATATGAAGTTTAACCAGTGTTGTTCATTTTTATTGTTTGTTACAGAACTGCTGTTGAATTGTGTGGATTCAGATGTTAAAGATGATATCTGCACATGTAGATGCTAATGATAACACGGTTGACATAACGCTATTCCACAATAAATAGCCGACTGAACCGTGTGACTGCTTTTATTGTATTTATTGGTCCACAGGGCTGTGAGTGAGAGTGTGTGTGTGTGTGTGGATTGAGTTGGAGATCAGCAGTAAGAGGATTAAAGTTTTAGAGAATGAGAGATTCTGGGTTTTATTCTGGGGGGGGGAAACCAAAACAACAACCACGGCACCAGGAGTGGAAGCTTTTTGTTATTGTTCGTCATCTAACAGGGTTCAGCCGAGTGTCAGTTGCATCACAAGTGCATTTGTGTTTACTGCGTGTAAACAACGAGCGTCTCGTTTGTTTGTGTTTACTGCGGGTTTCCAGGCGCGTCGAGGAGGTGGTGAGGTTTCCAGGCCTGCCTCCGCGCCGCCAGCTGACGTACCAGGCCAAACAAACCATCAGCAGAGAGATGGAGCAGGAGAAGATGAGGAGGGCCGAGCAACTGATGCTGCTGCGAAACCCAGCACCGGTGAGACTCGGGCACGCGTAGCACCTGGCCCCGCGCGTGCTAATTAACGTGACGTGTTTGTAATGCGCCGTGTCTGTGTGACGTAGAAAGCGGAGGACAAAAAGAGCGCCGGTCCTAAAGCAAGCAGGAACCACCAGCAGAGGCTGGAGAACATCGTCAAGCAGACCACAGTGGAGAGCAGGGTGAGGCGCACAAACACTTTGACACGCTGTTAGCTGCTGGAAAATCACTGCTGCTCTGGACCAACACTGCCTGATAATATGGTCTGATTTGTAGTTGTTATTTTTGGCCTGAACACAGAAAAAACACTTATTTTTTTCTTTTATTTAAATAATTTATTTGTTATTTTTTTAACTTGAAAGTGCCCCCTCTTAACCTTTGATACAGTTCATGGGGGTGGGAGTGTATACCAGCTGACACCGGGGGGGGGAGGAGAAGCACTACCGTAGGAGAAAGCTTTATAAACCACATACAGGCTTCGTTTATTTGTTCAAAACTGATCTTAAATTTTCTCTAATTTCTGATTGGTCCACATTAGCTGCACAACATGTTTGCCTTTTGTTTTGGTGATGTTGTCATAAAAAAAAATCTGAAATAATCCACTGGGATTATTCTTTAATTCTTTAAGATTATCATTTGGCACACTTTCATGGTGAAACGTTGTCTATTAGGAAGAACAACGTATTTCTGGCTGAAACCAAACACAATATATTGGCACAAATACCTCACACCAGCTGTTAAGCACGGTGGTGGAGGGGTGATGGTTTGAGGCGGTTTTACAACCACAGGAAATGGTCACCTTGTAGTCACTGAGTCATGCAAACTCCTCTGAATGCCTTCAACCTCAATATTGCTGCTAAAGTTACTGAGTCATGAGGTGTGCTTAGTTTTTCGCAGCACTGCACAAAAGAAAAAAAACACAGAGCTCAAGTTTCCACTGCCGGTAACATGTTTACTGTTATAGACTCTACTGTATGTTCAGGGTGTGGTCACTGTGCTCCTCACACATGTGGGTGTTAGTTGGTGCCTGCTGGTGGAGCCAGAGTGGAGCAGCCTGTCTGCACTGAGCCTAGATGAGTTATAATAGTTCCCTCTAGAGGGCAGGAATGAGGCTAATAAGAAGCCACTGGGTCACAGTCCCCGATGGAGACAACTGGGAAATTAGGCTAATGAGAGAGAGAGTGTGTGTGTGATTGTTCACTGATATTGACCTCGTTATTGAGGACAAAGCGTTTGAAACTTCCTGTTTAACTTCATCCTTCTCATCACTTTGTTGTTGTGTTTGCGTCCTGCAGCCTGAGGTGGATTTCTTTGGTCGAGCTGTTGCCCCTAAACCCCAGAGACCACAGCCGTCATCAGACACAGGTACCTGACTTCATTTATCTCAAATGTGGAAAACACAGGCTGCTCTGATTTTTTTTTAATACTTAATGCCTCGAAGCACATCAGGTCCACACGCACCAGAGGTAACAACTAATGTGTGTTATGTAACTTTGGTAATTAAGCGTTTTTGTTGCAGTCTGCAGGCAGAGCTGCTGGACTGCCAGCACTGTTACCACTTGCATTTATTATCAGATCTCTGTTAGCCAAACAAACTACTTTGCACAGCGCGATCCTTATATTTATGCATCAGCCAATAGAACAAACATACTTAATATTTATTTCCTAAAATGTACATTAATAATAGTGTCCAGCATTCCTCAAAATCAGTTTACTACATTTTCCTGAGATGTAGCAGTTGTAGCCCTTGGATGCTAATAAAACTCTTCAAGGTCATTTCTGAGCCTGCTGGTGCTTTTGAGTCAGTGGAGGCAACTGTGACTGCTGTTTGAATACATTAAATCTCCACCCCTCCTGCAGTTCTGGAAAAGTGCATCATCGTTAGCTCAGGACCCGTAACATGTCTCTGTGCATGTCTTATTTACCGTATGACCAAAAAGTCCCATTAAAAGCACTAACCCTCCTGAAACCACACCATCAGGGGCATTGATGAGCAGTGTAATCAGGGTGGAAACGCAGACCTGTGGTCATTTGTAGGTCAAAGCAGGATTTATTTACTAAAACAGGCACAGCTCCACATCCTCTGTAATGCTTCCCAGACTTTTTTATTTTGATTGGATCGGTTTGTGGAGAGGACTGAGAAGCACTAATTTGGATCTGGTGGCGTCAACGGTATGCATCAGTACTTTAGATGGGTGCATAGTTGAATTATGCAATAATGTGACAACAGTGTGAGAGTGAAAGGATGCTATGGATTAAATGATTATCAGTCTGCAGCTTTCATCGTCTTTACAGAGCTTTATGTTGAGCCACAGATACACAGATATTTACGCCGATGGATCAGATTTTTATTGTACTTGCGGCTTCAGCCTCACTGCTCTCATAGTGTCGTTTTTACACTACAGCAGGCGGCTGTTTTCACTGGAAGACACCACTGTTAGCAAGTAGTTAGCATTTAGCTCCTCAGGAGAAGGAGACCAAAAGTAGAGCTAACAGAACAAGTTAAAAATAAACTGTAAATAAACAGTGTTGCTGCCTAACTGCAAATTTTCCACTGGAAGTTGAAGGCTGATGATGTTCATAACTTATTTCCACCTCCTCAAGTCCTCCATCCAAAAAAAAAAAAGGAAAAAAAAAAAGAATTCACCCTTAGTGTGAAACTGGAGCTAAACTAGTTACACAGATCAGCATCGGCTCTGTTGTGGGATTTATTGATGTAAAAGTCATTGGTTTGAGCTGAAATGACAGAAAACTCTTTGGTTTAAGAAACTTGGACTGGAAAATTTATATTAATTGAAGTATGAACTTTTTAATTCATTGTGAAAAAAGCCACCAGCTTAATCAAATATGAAAATACTTGGACCCGAATGAGTGCACTCAAAGCCTGTTTGTGTCTCCGCAGGTGAGAAGAGAGCAGATCTATCTATGGGGACAGCAGTGGGCAACAGTGACGTGTGGTTCCGGTTTAATGAGGGCATGTCCAACGCTGTCAGACGAAATGTTTACATCAGAGATCTGCTGTAGCGCACACACACACGCGCACACACACGCTACTGTCTCATTCTCAGCTGCACTTGTTGTTGTATCATATGAAAGAATCTTAATCAATGCGTGTTAAATTCAAAACAGTCTTTATTTGGATTGACAGTGTAAAGAGCCAATAAAAAGGTGCTGTTCATCAAAACAAACCTCTAGAAAGCTACTCGGTGCTGCACACTCACACATACACTCGTCTCCACAGAAAGCATTCAGAGAAAAGCGGTGATAGCACTGATCGTGTGTGTGAGCGAGCATGTGAGTTAGTGCAGTGCGTCATCCTTCAGTTTGTATGCATCCGTGATTGTGTGTGTGTGTGTGTGTGTGCGTGTGCGTGCGTGCGTGCGTATATATTTATATATATGAGTGTGTATGTGTGTGTGTGTGTGACCGCTAGAGAATCACACACTTGCCCTTCTCCACCCAGGGATTGGCTCTCATGAGCTCCGGATTCAAAAATGGATCTTCACAAACACATCCCTCGATCCATTTCACCAGCCTACAAAAAAAGATCAAAGAAAGAGAGAGTCGTACGGTCAGCAACGGGTCACACGCTGTACTGAACAGAGAGGGAACGAGTGTGTGTGTGTGTGCAGCAGGTGGACTCACTCAGTGACAGTGATGGAAGATTTCTCTCTGTTGATTGCCAGCTGATACTGAAGGCTTTCCACTTCGCGCTTCATCTGTGGGATGTCCCACTCCTCCATGATGCTACTGTTGTGTATACACACAAACACACACACGCAGATCAGAGACTGAAAGAGCACAGCTCTACTACACAGATGATTAAAGCTTGTTTTTGTTTTGCAACTGCGCCAATTTTAGAGTGCTAAAAGAAGTAAAAGCAGCCGACTGATCCTGCTCCAGCTCCTTTTTGAAGCGGGAGTATTTTTGTTGTCGCTTCTGCTCTGAGTCATAATTCACTGCGTGGATAAGCTCTGCACAGAGAACCAGTGTTGTGTTATTTTCTAATTTTTCAAAATAAAACTCACGTTTAAAAAAAAACTAATAAACACAACTTTTTGCAAACATTACTCTAACAGGTGTAAGTTGCGCTCGTGTTGTGGACTATTTTCAGCTGTGGATGAATACGATTTTACTGGCTGTTGACCTCTGACTCCAGAAGGATGGTTTGTGTGGGATTAGGCATACAGCAGTGTCCATGTACATAATGGAGAAGCAGGTTTCAGAGAGACTGCCAGTAAAATGATCAGAAGTAAAATAAGTAAAAGGGCTTGACTTAATTAATGAGGTGGGAGGAGTGATCCAAATATTGATAGTATCGATACCAACACTGATACTGGCATCAGATTGATACTGCCGCAACAGGATTTGATATTTTGTTTCTATTCTCTCTTTTTTAAAAAAAGAAAATATATGCTTCAAACATGCGCTATGAAAAATGTCTCAACCTTTGTGTTGACTGTCGCATCTATTTTATTTATAGCCTAGAGCAAATTTC